GCACAACCTGACAGGCGGGGGAAGATGCTTGATTCGCGGTGTCAGGAATTGAACACCGAATGCAATGCGAATCGGCTCGGAATTGCAATGTCAAGGCGCGAAACAGAGGGGAGGTGATGGCCGCGCAAGCTTTCCTCCGCCCACTGTATATTTTGCGTTTCCGCCTTCCCCTGGTTCCGCTGGTCACTTTTGCCAAGCCTCATTCCGCTGGCTCCGCTGGTACTCTCGCCCGTTTCCGAGGTCCTCGAGTCTCCTCGGCTTCACTTCACTCCATCGATTGGTGCCGTGGGGTGGACCTGTCTGTACTCGTTCCTTTGGCCTGACCTACTTGCACCACTCCTCACCCCACACTATGGTTAGTAGTGAAGTGATCCATTCTTCCTTCACCTAGTTTCATCCCCAATCCCAAATCTTGTACGGCTCGTCTGCGCTTCTCTGAACTCATCTCCAGTGGTAGCTTCACCGCCGAGGTTTCCTTGACGTGTTTCTGTGTCGGGAAAGCGATGTTAAAAAGAAGCTATTAGTCTAGCCCTGTAACATTGCTGTCGTAAATTATACGTCATGGCTACTGCGTCGTCGAATGGGGAGCAGGTTGTCAGATGGTTAGAGGATAGTGGCTTAGGAAAGTATGCTAGCCAGTTTGTTGCTCTTGGCATTGGAGGAGACGGCTTCCGTAAGCTTCTCATGCAGGTAACTTCTTGTGAAGTCCTTATAGCAACTAGAATCAGTTTATAACAAGCATTCCGAATAGCATTCTGACAGCTATTGACATTCCTTCGAACCTTGTCGTCAGGACTACGAGAAGTGTGGCGTTTCCAAGTTCGAAGACAAGCGAAAGCTCTTCCAACTGATTAAGCAGCTCAATTCTAGCGATGATGTTCGCTCGAGCATGGGAAGGAACCGCGAGAGCCAGCAGGATATTAGACTTGCAGCTCCTCAAAGGCCTTCAATCGCCGTTGCTGCCAAGTGCACCAAGATTATCGACATTCAAGGGATGGACGATGTTGAACTGCTAACTGATGTGAGTGTCGATGTGCTGACTTTCTAGCGAATGGCATAATGGTTGTTCTCTAAACGCTGAATCTCTTCATATCGCAGGGGCTTGACGAACCTATCGAGACAGAGCCTCCGAAGGCTCCACGTCTTACTGCACCGCAAAGTGCAGTCTCCAGCCGGGCAACATCGCCAGTCAGACCTGAGCGAGCCTTTATGCTCCACAGCGTATCAGTCCCTGCCTCCCCAGAGAAGTTCTCCTCACATCCTCCTCAGAACCTGGCATCGTCGCTTCCCAAAATCCCCGGCCTTGATGCGGTCGTGGAGACAGCTCCGCGGGTCTCGAATCCAGCTCGCATCAAAGTTGTGGTGAGTCATCGTGTTTTTTTGCAGCTCCTATCCTACTCCTCAATATCATTTCTCACGCATGGCTTGCTCTTTTCCGGTTGCAGGTTCGGAAGCGACCCATTAACAAAAAGGAGCGTTTGCGGAAGGAGTATGACGTTATATATATTGAGGAACCAAGGACCCTAACAGTTCGCGAGCCGAAAGTGAAGGTGGGCTCTTGTGTATGACGCAACTCAGTCCTTTTTTCCATTTTTGTCGCGAGGGGCTTGGACTTAATCTCGTGCCCCCCTAACATCATCAGGTCGACTTGACGGCTTACGAAGAAACGCACAAGTTTGTCTTCGACGCTGTGCTGGATGAAACAGTAACCAACGACGAGGTTCGTGTAGCAAGCAAGCTCACACTGGAAATAGCGTTTGCTTCATATGATTTACGGATCTAATCGGAGTGCAAGTTACGTGCAGGTATATCGCGAAACCGTGGAGCCCATTGTTCCTACGATATTCATGCGAACCAAAGCGACTTGCTTCGCATATGGTCAGACAGGTACACACTCAACACTTTCAGAAGGAGCTATCGGGTTTTCTTGTGCTACAGGCCTGACGCCTTTTCTCGTTGTGGCTGCGCTGGTTGCTTGCAGGGAGTGGTAAGACCTACACGATGCAGCCTCTGCCACTGAGGGCTGCACAGGATATGCTGAACATCATCAACCTGGAACGCAACAAAGATTCCAACTTCCATCTGTGGATAAGCTTCTTCGAGATCTATGGTGGCAAGCTCTTCGACTTGCTCAATGACCGAGCGTAAGTTCCCTGATCTTGGAAAAACGAAATTGCTGATTAATCAGCGTCTTCGCTGGAACAGCGTGTCAAGCTGTCTCATTCAAGCATCATCTTTGTGTGTAATGCAGGAAGCTACAAATGCGCGAGGATGGGAGGCAGCAAGTGTGCATTGTTGGCTTGAAGGAGGTCAATGTCGTATCCGTTGACACCGTTTACGAGCTAATTTCGAGGGGAAGCTCCGCAAGAAGCACTGGCACGACCGGTGCGAACGAAGAGTCGTCGCGAAGTCACGCTATCCTCCAGATGGTTATCAGGCAGAAAATTCAGCCTGACAAGACGCAGGCGCGACGAGCCAGGAGGTCGCTTGGGGGCGCGGACGAGAAGGACACCATGGAAAAACTCGTGGGCAAGTTCTCGTTTATTGACCTCGCGGGCAGTGAAAGAGGCGCTGACACTACGGATAATGATAAGCAGACCAGGCAAGAAGTTATTTTGCTGGCGGTTTTGGATATAACAAGGGTGTTTTCTAACTAGGCAATGTACTCGGGCACTCCTTGGACAGGATGGAAGGAGCAGAGATCAACAAAAGCCTTCTGGCTTTGAAGGAGTGCATTCGCGCACTTGACATGGAGCAAAACCACATTCCGTTCCGTGGTAGCAAGCTGACTGAAGTGCTGCGTGACTCCTTTGTGGGCAACTCTCGAACGGTGATGGTATCGTGCATTTCTCCAGGATCAGCTTCAGTCGAGCACACTCTGAACACTCTGCGCTATGCTGACCGGTGAGCACCATGTATATTCCGCATCATTAAGTCTCTTCCATAGTGTACTTCACTAACGTCTACCTGCTTTTCTGCTTTCAGAGTCAAGAGCCTTTCAAAGGGCAACAAGAAGGATACTGGGGGCTCCAGCATTCCCAGTACTATGGTTTCATCGAAGAGCTCAACGACCACTGGAAGGGTGCAGCAGCCAGCCCCAGTCTACTTTCCTGAACCATTTGGTGAGGAGACGAGCTCAGCAACCGAGAAGCGTCCGAGATATGAAAGCATTCCGAGAGTTGCATCTGCCTCTGGTTGCATTCCGAGAGTTGCATCTGCCTCTGACCCTGGTCGTTTCAGTATTGGAGGCCGGCAGTCTGCAGTGGAGGGAGGGATGTTTAAGGAGAAGAATGCCAGCAAGCTAGTTGAAGAGATTGTGGATGACATGGAGCTGGACAATGACAGTGCTGAGGTTGTTGGAACTCTGCTTGCTGACCTGGAAGAAGGAGTAAGCTCCATGGATAGCCTTTGTGGGGAGGTCGAACGGTCGCGCATTCCGTCAGATTCGCACATGGAGGTCTCTGATCCAATGCAGCCTGGCAAGGACCCTAACATGCTAGGTGCGAATGAGTCAACCTTCCTCTCCAGCTTCACAAAATCATCCGTTCCATCCACCAGGCCCTTCCGTTCAACCTTAGGCTGGTCTGCAGGGTCGTCGTCCAGGGCTTCTGCTGGTGCCTCAGCTACTTCAGGAGGCCAGGCTGCTGCTGCACCAGTGAAGGAAGGAAACAATTCGAGACTCCTGCGCCGAACCACATCCATTCCATCTGCCCCTGGTGTGACTGATAAGGCAGCAGAAGCTGGCCAGGCTGCTGCTGAGCTTCAGACAAGCTCAGTTCTGGTTGCAAAAACAGTTGATACCTCTGCAAGCAGCAGGCCTTCTGCAGCAAGTGACAACTCTTCAGAGGAAGATGCGAGCAACAAGGCTGAGCCAGCAGTGCGCAGGAAGCAGCCTCCAAGGAAAGCAAAAACTGCTGGAAGGTTGCAAAGACAGGAGGTATCTGAGGTGTCGGAGTCCTCGAGTGAGCTCATTGAGGCATCTGATCTACTCGCCGCCAAACACAAGCCTTCACCTGTAAGTTCTTTGGTTTTGTCAATGCTAACTTGTCGTCGCTTGGACGGATTTGTTAAGCCAGTTCTTTCTTCTCACAGGAGATCGCCCATATCATCTCACTCCATGAGAAGCTCGTCAAGCAATACTCCACATTGGAACAACGGGTAAGATCTTGCACATTCATGTCAATATTTCATGCTTATTTTACAGTATTTCAGTTGCTGTGACTGACGGTTGAGCTTATGTGTGAACAGGAAATGAAGGTGCTTGATCAAATCAGAGCAGGAGAGGGCAGCTTCGATGTTTACCTTTTGGAGACTGGGAGGATTGTTGCTGAGAAAATGTCCAGCCTTGCACAGCTGCAAGCTGAGATTGCCAAGTTCCAGTTTACCAGGAGATAGGATGCTTCTATAGTTTTCTGATCATGCTTTATTTCGTCTGACAGGTTTGCCATTGGGTTCCCTGACACTGTAACACGGAAAGCTGTTTTTTTGTGTTGAAATCGAGCTGTGATACAAGTCATCTTAGCTGAATATGTACCCAATCATACGGTAGTACAACCAACGCGATACTAACATGCTGACAGAGCTTCAGCTTGACCAATTGGAATGCCTGCACCAATGTGCCACACCTACAGCCTGGTGGGCACGTGCAACCGCCAGTGTTTACAGTGTAGTGCAGTTTTTACCCTTTTGAAATCAGGCCAAAAGCAAACAATACGATTTTTACCCTTTCCCTAATCAGGGTAGCTAGGGTGCACCCTGTCGTCCAGGGGTTGCCCAAAACCACTCTAGAGCCCTGATTGTATGATGAAGAACCTCGCCTCCAGCTCACCTTCGCTCAACCTCACACTTGATGTGTTTATGGTTCAACACACTACGCGTGACCCACCATTGGCAGGAAATTGCACATTGCTTGAAGAAAAACCATCAAAAGCGCACCACCACATGACAAGTACCATTCATGGCTGATGTTATGTCCAAATAGAGAAAGAAAAGGTGATGCTTCAGCTAACGTCCGGATGCCTAGCATCCTTGGCCCTACTCTTGGCTGCCGCCACTCGCTTCTTTTTGCGCAACAGCATCCATGCCGCCTGTCGGGCACTTCCAATCTGCTTCATGGTGCTACCATTGCTGCCCTTTTGCTTCAATGCTGTAACTGCTCGACCTTTCCCTTTCCTCGCGTCACCCATTTTCCTGCCGTCCGTATTCCCAACAGCGGCGCTATGTTTACTCACATTTAAATGCCCGGTCGAGTGCATATCTTTGCCATCCACAGCATCAACCCCAGGAGCAACCACAGCGGCAGTTTCACCACCATTAGCAGCATCATCCGCTGCAGCAGCAGCATTGGGAACTCCAGGCAGAGCATCCACCTTCTCATCCCCTTGCCCACCATCTCCTCTATCTTGGCTCCCCAACCGCTCGTTTGATCCATCAACAGATCGAATAGGCAAGTCACCGTCAAGACTGTCAAGATCGTCATCATGATCGCCCAGTGCTAGCCGCTTCTTCCCCTTCTTCCGCTTCCTCATGTTCATCAGCTCTTTATACTCACGATTCATCTCATCCTGCTCATCCTCCTCCCGCGCTCTTCTTACTGCTCGCGCCCCAACAGACTTCAGAGAAGCCACTTCGACCCGTGGAGTGTTCCCCTTGCCGGCTTGATCCTTGCCCTGCTGCTGCCGCTGCTGTCTCCCCGGCTTGTTTTGAGGGTTCTCGGATCCTTCCTGTTGCTGCTTCAGAAACTGCTGTCGCTGCTTCTCCCGGTTCTTATCCCTGCACACCATTCAGAAGGGTAAGAAAGTATTTGAGGCACCTCGGAAGGGAGGGCAGCCATGCAGATTAGCTATGCAGGCATGCTGTACGAAAGCATTGGTTGTGGGAAATGAAAAAGAGGAGCGGAGGGAGGGTAAGGGCGCGTGGAATAAGATGGCGTTGCCTCCTGTCGTGCCTGTAGTGCCAGTCGTGCCTGCAGTGCAATAGATAGTCTTTCTTACACGAAGAAAATCTTGCTTGTGATGGAGCGACCCCCTGCCGCTGAAACTCACTTGCATTTGAGCACTGCCACATCGGCATTCATATCGCACTCGAATTCGACAACGAGGCACGGATGGTGGCTGGCGGGTTGCCTCCTGTCGTGGATTCCTTGCATTCGAGCGGCTTCTTTACACATAATGAACTCGTTCTCAAGCAAGTCCCTGACGCTGAATGAACCCACTCGTACCGGTATTCGAGCCACTCCTTACACTGAGGAAACTCACATGTATTTGAGTGTGGTGACATCGACGGTCTTGTCCGCCTCATGAATTCAAACGATACCTTAACACATAACAAACTCGTTCTGACTGAGAGAATGAAACGGACTCACTTGTATTTGAGCGTGGCCACATCCACGGTCTTGTCCGGCTCAAACCCGTCAAAGAGGCGCGGATGGTGGCGGGTTTCCGGCATGCGGGGGATCTTGAGCACACCGTATGACATGGCCACTGCGCCCATCTCCAGCTCCTGGAACCTGCAGAGGAAAGTGGGAAGAGAGAAGACTTGCGAGACGTTTAAAGACTTTTGAGCACACCGTATGACAAGATGATTCCGCCTATCTCCAGCTCCTGGAAACCTGCGGAGGAATGTGGGAGTGGCACCGGGAGGGGAAGGTGGGAGCGGGAGGGAGGTGTTGCAAGGGGTGGGGGGAGAGGGAGGGGGAAGGGAGAGGGGTTGGAAGGGAGAGTGGTGGGCAGTGTACAGTACGTGGGTGGGCATCCTTTGAAGAACAACCCACTTTCAAAGGGGAAAGCAGGTGGGGAGATGGTGGGGAGGGGAGAGGGGGAGGGGAGAGGGGGAGGGGAGAGGGAAACATGAAGAGGAACGTGGGCCCAAGAGAAGGTACCTGAAGATGTAGTTGCAGTGGTGCTCCTTGTAGCCCCTCACAAACGACACAAACGCCCGCACACCCTTCTCCACCACTGCACGATCCTTCCGCGAAGCTTCCCTCAGCTGCCACACATGCACGCACACGGCCATAAGCAACAGAACCACAAATGGAAGGCTTTTGTTTTCAAGCCCGTCGGCACATTATTCACATCCCAAAAGTGTCAGAGCCCCCCTGGAATGATCTTGACGCAGCAGAGTGAAGGCAAAACAAGACGAAGCAGATTAAAAGCAACACATCCCACTATGATAAAACTAACAACACAATCAGAGCTGGGAGGGTGGTATCTCCAGTCCAGATATGCAGAATCGAACTCCGATCCAACCCAAAATCACGTCACCTGCGGGATGACATCGACAACATCTGGTGCGGGGGGTTCCAGCACTACGGGCACTCCTTGCAGCCGCAGATACTCCGGGTATGCATCCTCCTGCCAGGACACGGCACAGGTGGAAGGGAAGGGAAGGGAAAGGAAGGGAAGGGAAGGGAAGGGAAGGGAAGGGAAGGGATATGGTTGATTTCTTGAGCGTCTCAGAAGTAGTGGATGGACTTGCAGGCGCAAATATTCCGGGTATGCATCCTTCTGGCAGGATATGGGGGGACGGGAATGGCTATGATGAGGGTGCATACCCGATTGGGGGTAGGGGGTGGGAGCATTCTCCTCCTGCTGACAGTAATGACTTTCGACTAATGCCCCACCATCCCTGATCCTCCCCGCTCGAGCCTCTTCCTTCACACTCCTCAACCCCTCCCCCCCATTTGCCAACCCCCCATTTACGCAGCTCCCTTTCTCCCCCCCGACCTTGGCTTCCCCTTCATCTCCCCCCTCCCCCCACCTTAGGCGGCAGCCACACAAGGGCAGACCCCTCTCAGCCCATGCGGGCTGAACGCCCAGCGCGGTGCACAAAAGCATGGGGGTCCTGACATATTCCTGCATATGGGATCGACCTCCAACATATTCCTTACCTGCCCTTTCTCCTTTCCCCCTTTTCCCCTTTCCCCTTTCCCCTTTCACCCCCTCCCCTCTCTCCGCTCCCGCTTCTCCTCCCCAACCCCAACTGCCCCATCCCCACCCCTTACCTTAGGCAGCATTTTTGAGGCGCCTCAAAAGTCTTTCCTGTCCCGTCCCACCCCTTACCTTAGGCAGCATTTTTGAGGCGCCTCAAAAGTCTTTCCTGTCCCGTCCCACCCCTTACCTTAGGCAGCATTTTTGAGGCGCCTCAAAAGTCTTTCCTGTCCCGTCCCACCCCTTACCTTAGGCAGCATTTTTGAGGCGCCTCAAAAGTCTTTCCTGTCCCGTCCCACCCCTTACCTTAGGCAGCAGCCAGACAAGGGCGGATCCCTCCCTGCCCATGCGGGCGGTGCGCCCAGCGCGGTGCACAAACGCGCGGGGGTCCTGAGGGGGGTCGAACTGCAGAACGCAGTGCACGCCGGGGATGTCGAGGCCCCTGGCCGCCACGTCCGTGCAGATCAACACTCCTCGTTCCGCCTTGCGGAAGGCTGCCACTGCTGCATCGCGTTTCGACTGGTGAGGGAGGAAGTGGGGGAGGAAGAAGGGGAGTGGGAGAGGGAGGGGGAGGGGGAGATGGGGAGAGGGGAGTGCGGGGGCGGACGGGAGGGGGTGAAACTAGTGAAGGCGTGGGAGAGGAGAGGAGTGGCAAGGCCACTATCAAACGCCTTGAGTTGGAGGGTGAAGGGGAGAGGGAGGAATGTGGGCTGCAGAGTGCAGTGCACGCCGGGGATGTCAAGCCCCCTGGCCGCCACGTCCGTGCAGATCAGCACTCCTCGTTCCGCCTTGCGGAAGGCTGCAACGGCTGCATCGCGTTTCGATTGGGGAGTGAATGAGCAGGGGTGGTGGGGGGTGAGAGTGCGCAATAATGAGGGTGGGGAGAGGGGGGGGGGGGGGGAGGAGAGGGAGAAGAGGATGGGCGGGCGAGGGAGGGAGGGACGGAAAGAGACTGTACAGGGAAAGTTGGGCGTGCTAATTCTGGTCATATTTGATGCGCCAGGCACATCTGATAACGAAGTTGTTAAGTCCCTATTTTGATGTGAGGGGGGATGGAGACGTTGAAAGGACGGAGACGTGCCTGCTTGAGCTTGCCGTGCAGGGGGAAGAAGGAGATGCCCTTGAGGGGCGAGAGCAGAGGAAGCACGGAGCCCCAGTAGTCCACACACGCACACGTCATCACGAAGCTGGGCGCAACAGGGGTGAGGGGAAACACGAGGGGAGTAACCAGAGGGGAGCAGGGGGGAAGAGGTGGGGGGACAAGCGGGGGAGGGGGGGATTGTGGGGTTGGTGGGGAGCAGAGGGAAAGGACAGGGGAGGCTCAGGCGTGAATAGGTTTTAAGCCCGTGTGGTTTTGGTGAGTGGGAGGCAAGCAGAAGAAAAAAGAAGCGCATATGACGAATGGAGGGATAGGAGCATGGGAGGGATGCGACGCGTGGGAGGGAGGGGTGGGCGCAGAGGAGAAGAGAGAAACAAGAGCGTGGAAGTGCACGGAGAGTGGAGGGGGAAATCAAGGGGAGAGAGGGATGGGCCGGTGGGTGGGTGGGTGGGCGGGTGAATGGCCGGGCAGGCGGGAAGGCAGGCAGGCTCACAGCATGACTTTGCGGTCGGGGTGTTGGCTGAGCCAGTGCACTAGCTGACTCGCCTTGCTGCGCGCACCTTCACACACTATGGCCTGGGGGGAGGGGCGAGGGGGAGATGGTCGAGGAGAAGGGTAGGTATGGGGGGAGGGGAGGGAGGGGAAGGTGAGGGGGAGGAGAGGGGGAGGAGAGGGGGAGGAGAGGGGGAGTGGGAACAGGAGGGGAAAGAAAGAGAGGAAGGGAGCAAGGGTTGGGAGCAATCAAGCGGGGGCGGAAGGTTCTATATGAAGGCGGAAGAAGGGAATTTGGGAAGCGGGTGCAACAGGAGGAGCGGGGTCAACGGAGTCAACAGGCTGAGGAACTATGGAACGAGATTAAGGATCAAGAACAGTATACACAGAACACTCAATCGTCCCTCAGACCATGCTCCATGCCCATGCCCATGCCCATGCCCATGCCCATGCCCATGCCCTTCCCATGCTCCTCCCTCCCCATCCCACAATCCCCCATCCGCCCATTCCCTTCCCTGCTCCCACACTCGTCCCTGTCCGCCAACCTTTCCCTCCTCCTCCCCATTCCCCCCCCCTCTCTCATCCCCTCCCCCCGCACCTGCACTTGAAGCCCCACGGGGATCTTCACTGCGCCAGCCTTCTCCAGCGCAGCCCCATACCCAGTATCTCCGCCCTCCCCCGCCCCTCCTGCTCCTCCTGCTCCCGCTGTCATCCCCTGCGCGCTCCCCTCCCCTGGAGCAGGAGCGCCTGGAGCGCCAGCGCCAGCGGTTCCGCCCGCCGCTCCCCTCGCGCCCCCCGCGCCCGCGCGCGCGAGCGAGCGCACTTCGACGCGCACGGGGTTGCGCATGCCCGCGAGCGCGAGCTCCTGCAGCGCGGACGTCTGCGTGGCGGAGAAGAGCCCCGTGCGGCGCTGACGTGGCAGGCGGTGCAGGATAGACTCGAGGCACGCCGCGAAGCCTAGGTCCAGCAGGCGGTCCGCCTCGTCCAGTATCAACACCTGCGCGCGCGCAAGGGGGGGGGGGGGGATGTGGGGGAGGGGGAGGCGGAGGCGGAGGCGGAGGGGAAGGGGGAGGAGGAGGGGGAGGGGGAGGGGGAGGGGGAGGGGGAGGGGGAGGGGGAAGGGGAAGGGGAGGGGGAGGGGGAGGGGGAAGGGGAAGGGGAGGGGTCGCGGAGTGTGCCGAAGGGAGGGGCGGGGGGAGGAACGGAGAGAGGTGAAACGAGGCTGCCAAGTCCAGAAACGAGGTCTAGGAGAGAGCAGAGGAAGTACGCTACTCGAGCGGGGGCGTCAGAATAAGGAGGGCGGACGGTTTGATGGAAGGGTCGGGCCTTGGTAATTCAATTCCGCTTTCAACAGAGGTACATTGAAATGTAGCCGTTTGCAAGAGTTACTCCAAGTACAGCCGTCGTTGTCACAGCGAAATCTCCAAGTTACCGGAAGTTACCGCGCTCACCTCTAACGCTCTTAAATCGAGGCCGCAGTTGGGCCGCGACAGCACATCGTCGATCCTGCCCGGCGTGCCTATAATCACATTCGCGCCGTCCTCTGAGATGCGCGCCACGTCGACGCCGACCGCGTGTCCCCCCGTTAGAAGCATGCAGCGCAGGTTGGGCAGCGCGGCGGAGAGAAAAGGCTCCGCCACCGCGTGAATTTGCGCCGCCAGCTCGCGCGTAGGGGAGATAATCAGCGCCCCCAGCTGCTTGGGGGAAATGCCCAGGAAAGGGGGGAAAGAGGTTGAGGGTTTTGGGGCCGAAGGGGGCGGGGGGGGGGGGGGGGGGGGGGGTGGGGGGGGGGAGAGGGGGGGAGAGTGGGGGAAACGGGAAAGCAGAAAGGGCAGATTGGGGGAGATAGGGAAATGAGCGCCACACCGGAAAGAGGTCGAGGAAGAGGGGGCGTTGGGAAATGGGGGGCGTGTGGAGGGGGGAATGGGGAGAGGGAGGGGGAGGGGAGGGGGAGAGGGAGGGGGAGGGGAGGGGGAGAGGGGGGGGGGTAAGGAGAGGGGGAGAGAGTACGGTTTATGGGGGAAGGGGATGGGGGACGGGTACGGGGCAGAAGTGGAGGAGAGAAATCAGAGTAGACCAAAAGAGGGCGGAAAGCGCGAGGAAACAGCGCGCCCGTCACTCTGCGACATGGCACCCACCTGAAATTTCTTCAACGAAGACGCGACTCGTCGAAGAATTTCCGCAACGGGCAGCACAAACGCTAAAGTTTTTCCGCTGCCCGTGACGGCCTCCGCCGCCACGTCCTTATTCCCGCATAGCAGCGGCACACACGCCGCCTGTACCGGCGTCGCGAACTCGAACCCGAAGCGCCCCAGCACTGACAAGGTTTCCGCGCACAGCGGCGGGCGCAGATCCGCAAAGCGCACCGTGCTCACCGCCAGCGGCGGTGCCGGCGGGGCTTGCGCGGGTTGCGCGGGTTGCGCAGGCTCAGGCGGCGCATCTGGCTGAGATTTAGGGTGGGGGGCTTTGCGCTTCCCCTTGGATGATTTAGGCGGCATTGGGGTTTATGCTGAAGAATTCCTCCTAAGGCTCCTTCAACGTAAAAAGATACTAGACGAAAGTCCACTCGGCAACCCCGTTGACTAGAACGATTTCGCTATACGACGAACACGCGTTTAGAGACCTGCGCTGAAGTGAGAGGAAGGGTTTAGGGTGGGAAATAGAAAATAGATGGAAGGTGCTGAACGCCCTCAAGGTTCCTGGGTCTCGGGTTTTGAGCGGGGTTTTGAAGGGTTGCATATTTGTGGTGTAGCTTTTGCATTGTATACCCTAGTTCCAAAAGCTATATTATCTCAACTATCATGAGGGGCCCTTGATTTTTTCGCGGAAAAACCGTTCTTGTCATGGGGTGCTCACAGTTCGGCTATGCCAATGTCGGGTTCCGCTCACGTGTCAGTATTTCCCGTTCACAAATACCCTCTTAAAACACTGTATATCTTACCGAAACGTACTATACCGTCATCAACCACTCTGCAAAGAACTGGTGTCACATCTTCGCGCACACATCCGCTCACACTTTCATTTCTAGTCCAGTTCCAGTCCGGTCCAGCAGGGATACTGTGGAGGAGGGAGGGAAATATCGCTCGCGCGTTCACAAATCACTCGCTCCCACATTGGTCCATCCAGACCAGATTGCATCTAGACTCTACTTTCTTGTCAGGGGGAATCTTGCCTCGGCGTCGCATCGCGGCATTTCCTCTCCGGTTATACATTCCATCTCGTCTTGTCTCATACTTCCCTCACCAATGGCGCGCGCGGTAAATTTTCAGTCCTGCCTTCTTTCCGCCTCCGCGCACCTACTTCTCCCCCCTCAACGCTCCGCGGCTTTTCTCCGCCAGTCCACCGCGTCTCTCGCTCCCAATTTCTCCGCCACGTCCCCCGTGACTCCCGCCCTAGCCGCTGTTTCCGGCGGCGGATCGCCTCTTGTTTTTATCGAGGGCGAACGCTCGATGCCGCGCAAACGCGTTGCGAGGAAGGCCCGTGGTCGCCGCGCGATCTGCCGAGCGGAGAACGCGGAGAAGGGTAGCGCGTCGACGGCGAGGGGCGATGGTGACGCAAGCGGTAAGATGTCAGTATGATTGTTCGTCACGTCGTTAATCTATGTCTTGAGATTGTCTGAGCAAACAGCTCGGTGATCTCCTTACTGAGTCCACGCACACTGTACCGTCGTGTCGTTCCGACGTAAACTTATTCTATGCTCTACTTAACGCCTCCTTCCCCACAAACGTTTCTACCTTTCCACTCCACACCCACTCCACCGTATGCTCTTGCCTGCTCATTCCCCTCCTTTTCCCTTTCTTCCCGTCCCTCCCCCTACCTCCCCTTTCCTCCCCCTCTCCCCCTTCTCCCCTCCCCCCCCCGCCCTTCCATTTACATTCTCCCACCTTTCCGCGCCCTCCCCCAACCTTCCCCGAACCTTTTCCGGCGCCCCCTGCATGCCCCGCCCAGGCGCGTCCCTCTCCGTGCTCGTCGTGGGCGGCGGCGGTCGCGAGCACGCGCTCTGCTACGCGCTGCGCCGCTCGCCCTCCACCGCGCACGTCTTTTGCGCGCCGGGAAACGCGGGCATCGGCCTGTCCGGCGACGCCACGTGTCTCCCGTCCCTGGACATCCGCAGCAGCAAGAGCGTGATCGAATTCTGCCGCGAAAACCGCGTCGGGCTCGTCGTAGTGGGGCCCGAAGCGCCCCTAGTCTCGGGATTAGTGGACGATTTAGTTGAGAACGGGATTCCCGCGTTCGGGCCGACGCAAGGTGCGGCGCAGCTGGAGGGCTCGAAGGGGTTTATGAAGATGATCTGCGATAAGTACGGCATTCCGACGGCTAAGGTGAGCCCTGGATGGGGACGAACGGGTGAGATTGCGAGAAAGTGGGAGAGTGGGTAGAGAATGTTTGGAGGGAGAGATGGAAGTTGGGGAGAGTGAGTTGAGTGGGTGGGAGTGAGAGGTGGGGTGCTTGGAGTTTGATGGCTTGAGGAGGGGTTTAGGGTTCGATCAGGCTGGGCATGGTTCAGGGGTTCTGTTCCACATTTGGTCATTGTCCCTCTGGCTTTCCCTCTCCCTGTCCTCCGCGATCCCCCCCCCAAATCTCCCCTCCCTTTCGCATTCTTGCTCGCTCCTTCCCAGCCAACCCCCTCTTTCCCCCCACACCCCACACCCTTCCACACGTACCCTTCCACACACACCCTTCCTGCCGCCTTTGCCTCTCAATCGCTGTTTCCTTTCTCTTTCTGCTCGCATGCCCTGTGCCCCTCCTTTTCCCCTTGCCCCTCCCCTGCCCCTTCCCTCGCCCCTCCCCTCGCTCCAACCCTCAACTTCCCTTCCTGACCCAACCCCCCTTCTCCCTCCCCCTCCCCCTCCCCCCTCCCCCTCCCCCTCCCCTTGTCCCCCTCTCGATCCCAGCACGCGTCCTTCACAGACCCAGCCAAAGCCAAGGCGTACATCCGCGAGCAGGGCACGCCCATAGTGGTCAAAGTGGACGGGCTCGCAGCGGGCAAGGGCGTGGTGGTCGCAACAACCCTCGCGGAAGCGGAAGCGGCAGTGGACCGCATGCTCATCGACCGGGAGTTCGGCTCCGCGGGTGGACAAGTGCTAGTGGAAGAGTTTTTGACTGGAGAAGAGGCGTCGTTTTTCGCGGTGGTGGACGGGACGTCGGCTGTCCCGCTGGCCTCCGCGCAGGATCACAAGCCGGTGGGGGAGGGCGACACGGGCCCGAACACGGGCGGCATGGGCGCGTATTCCCCCGCGCCAGTGGTGACTGCGGAGGTGGAGCGGTTTGTGATGGAGCGGATTATTGCGCCGACGGTGAAGGGGATGAGGGCCGAAGGGCTGCCGTTCACGGGCGTGCTGTATGCCGGGCTCATGGTGGATGCGAGTACGGGCACGGCGAAGCTGCTGGAGTATAATGTCCGGTTTGGAGACCCCGAGTGCCAGGTGTGTGGAGGGGTGAAGGGTGGGGGGAGGATGGGGTGACGGGCATGGGAATGGGGATGGGGATGGGGATGGGGAGGAGGATTTGGTGGGGGAATGGTGGATGGGGGATGGGGGATGCGGGATGGGAGGGGGTGGGGTGATGGGGAAGGGTAAGAGGGTGGGAGAGCGGATGGGATGGGGTGGACAGGACTGCTGTTTTTGCTTGCATCTTGGCATGCATACCTCACATGCTATGCTGGACTATGCCATGGCATTCAGAACCACAGCATAGCATGCATGGCTTGCATGGTATGCATGGCATAGCATGCGTGGCATGTCACGCGTACCGTTCCATACCATGCTATCCCATTCACGCACACACTTCACTACCCACTTGCTCTTCCCACTCCAGCCTACCCCGGCCCTCTTCTGCAGCAATCTTTCAATCCCCTCATCCAGCCTGCCCGCCATGCTCCCCTCGACCCACACTACCTTCATTCCCTTTCCCCATGTCTCGGTACAATCCCCATCCCTCCTCCAACCGCTAACCTCTCAACTCCCTCTCCTCTCTCGTTTTCTCCCCTCTCTTTTTCTCACTCTGCTCCAGCCCCTCCCTTTCTTCCCTCCCTTACCGCCCATCCCTCTCTTCCCTCCACTCCATCCCCTCCCTCCCCTGTCCGCCCCGTTTCCCCCTGCCACCCCTCCCCCACCAGGTGCTGATGAAGCGCCTGCAGTCGGACCTCTCCCAGCTGCTCCTCTCCGCCTGCCACGGCACCCTCTCCTCCCTCCCCCCGCTGCAATGGACAACTGACGCCGCCCTCGTCGTCGTGCTAGCTGCCAAGGGCTACCCGGGAGCATACGAGTCTGGAACGCCCATCCACGGCCTTGCTGCTGCTGCTGCCACTGATCCGAGAGTCACTGTTTTCCACGCGGGAACGAAGCTTGTGCCTGGAGAGGGAGCGGCAGGAGCAGCCGCCGCAGGCGGGGCGGCCGAAGGGAGGACTCCTGGGGCGTTGGGTGAGGCGGAGAGGGGAGTGAGTGAGGGGAGAGAGGGCCAGGTGGTGGCGGCGGGGGGGAGGGTGTTGGGTGTTACTGCGCTGGGAGGGAGCGTGGGGGAAGCGCAGGCTGTGGCGTATAGAGCGGTGGATAAGGTGGAGTGGAAGGAGGGGTTTTGCCGGCGGGATATTGGGTGGAGGGCTGTGGAGAGGGAGAGGAAGCACAATCAGGCGAAGTGAAAGGGGCCTGGTGATTGATGAGTGTAGTTCATGTCATGGGGTTTGGGTTGTGTTACCGTGTTATAGATACGGTTCCAGTACCGTACATTGCAAGTGTGGCAAGCAAGCCCGTATGGAGTGAAGCAGTTGGGAAAAACTTCTGGTTCTGGCGTTCATGTGCTCAGTTCCTGACAATCCATTATTTTGACATTTTTCTTTGATTGGCTGCACTTATTTAGAATTTAATCAAGGATTCAAAGAACTAGAATGTAGTGTATGAAGCTAAGAGAATGCATAGCATGTGCCTTATTCGGTACGCTTTATGCCTTTTTGCCTTTTGTAACAGCAGTTCGGTTTGTGAGTTCGGTTTGGTTTTAGTGCAGGCTCACTTCCACGGCTAACTTTCCCGCGTTACGAGCTCGCTTCACAAACTGTTCTCAACCACAAAGAATCATGTGGCGGGCAGCATTCGATTCCTTGGTTGGCTATCTCGAACCGGGGTGCTCGAGACGAAAAGCTGTCCTTGATTGTTGATCCTCCTCCAGTAAGGAAACGAAACGGGATACATCCCACCCTTCAATTCGCCGAGCACCGCCTTTTTGACTGCACTTTTTGCAAGGACGTCAAATTCTATTCGTGGATGGTGAAAAGTTTTCCCACGTGTCGATCGCATGTTGGTGAAACTACAAATATCTTCCATGTTAGCGTGCTTTGTTCTGCCACCAATCTCTCCGTCCGAAGCGCGGACACCGCTATGATTGCTTCTGCGGAGCGTTTTGTCGCAGGCGAATCAAACTCTTCAGGATACACAGAATGTGAGTTACTGTTTTTTCTTTTCACCTGAGCGTTTAACTCGTAGAGAAACTGCTGGCACTGTCATTTGCAGTAGTCCATGCATCATAAGCGGATACCAGACCATAAATACGAGTTAGTTCCGTGAATTGCACGATGTAATTACACGGTACATATAGAATACTACATTTTGATATTCACCTTTTTTACACTTCTAGCAGACTAATTTATTTGAAGTGTTGGGGAGGTTTGGAGAGATGAAGGATAAATGAAGTGGTTAGCTCTAAGAAATACTATATTACACATCAATTTTCTTATCCCCGTTATCATTTTTTCTAGCTGAGTATAGTTGAGCTGGAAAGTTCAGAATTGATTTCTTGGTTTGAAACATGTTAGGGTCGAACATAATTGGCTGAACGATTCAAAAAGTAAATCGTCCTGTCCCCTAATATTTCATAAAACGTTTCTCCGGGTCATCCTATATCACTGTATCGAACACGACGTGCATTTACGCGAATGACAATCTCCACCGCACCCTCTCTATCCCTTCCAAATTCTTTCCTGCCAGTCATCGACCAAGCCTCTTGCTACTCCCGGGAAATTTTGATAACATATTAGCCTAAGATAAACTCGGGTGGTTTATTCAGCCTTGTATTTGATTTGCGATGCTGAATGCCGCGACAGGTACTGCAACTCTGGACGGAACCAGTACATACTTGCCTGTCAGCAGGGCAGACATTTGGAATTGCTGGTGAGGTGTATGTTTTGGAATCGGATGGGGCTGTGGTGGAAAAATAGATGGAATATTGAGAGGTGTAACGGGGAATACGTAAAAGAGTATTCCCTCTGTAGGTGAAAGCACAGTAAAGAGGTTGTGGGGCTGGTGTGAGTTGGGATGGATGGATGCATGCGGGCAACCGAAATGCTTTCTTCCCGCTGGATGCATACATTTGGGCAGCCCCACTGTGGATCCGACTTTTTGTCTCGGTGACCTTTTCGTGGGACTGGTTCGGACGCCGCCTCTGGATCACAAACAGCGAGATCAATTCCACCCCCACAAAAGCTTGCGGAGGTGCTTTTCCGACGCACTTTTCGCTCGCGAATCGTGAGCCAAGATGCTCAGCAAGGCAAAAGCAATCCAGCGTGGCAAAAAAGCGTCGTCTTCAAAAATATCTTTCTTTTATCTTGGCAGACGCTCGGCCACGTCGATATCTTCTGCCGAAATCGCGGTCACTGCCATGCACTTTTTGGTGCACTTTTTCGCGGGCATATCAGAACGGAACCCCGCATTCGTCGAAACGGAGCGCGCAGCTGCTTTGGTCTCTCAGCGGATCAAATGCTCTTTCCACCACACCCTCGCTATCCTCCCCTCGTGTCTTCCCTCCCCCAACTCAATCCTTTTCTCTTCCCTCCACACCAATCCTTTTCTCAATGCTTGGCGGTCGCTGAAGGCAGACATCAGTTCTGCCAAGCAGGATTAGGTACCTTTTGTGTGGATGTCCCTCCGACCCACAAAACCTCTTTCAGGATGCTGTTCATAGCCCGTTTGAAGTCCTTCGAATTTTCCTATGCACCGCAACCACTTTCTTTCTGGGCGAAGGCGGATCTTGACATTTTTTTCCCAACCAACGCATGGACAGGATTGAGTATGGTCCCGTTTCGAGTTGTTGATGGCACACACAGGCGCCTAGCTCGGAAATAGGCCGCAGTTATCAGCCTCCTTCGCCAATGGGTTTCACAACACTACTAGGAACGTTTCTTACGACGCATGTCGATTTCACTTCAAGTCCTCTTACTAATAGCTTGCCATTGCGGCCGCGTCTGTAGCCTACTACGGTTTGTTTACTTTCCCTTGAAGTCCCGAGATTATGCTTTTTGCGAGCTCAGCGCATCGTATGTCGACGAAGCGAAAAAGTTCCGGCCGCGTGCATTAAAAATTTCCGAGACTATTGCATGTTCGGGAATGTAAAACTTCCGTAAAAGCTTCGTATTGAGAACGTGTTTTTTTCAAAATACAAGGAGTCGCTCAAGATATTATTTTCGATTTGAGCGGATGATGACAAGCAGCACGTGCGATACAAGCAGCAGCAGCAGCAGCCGCAGCCGACACAGACACCACCGTGACACTCATAACCATCGAGATCAAGACCGTCTTGACGACCGCCAGCCGCAGCGCCGAAACTCTGAGTCGCCGGCGGAGTCCCCCCGAGAAGGCCAGTCAACACTGAACGTGTTAAGTCTCTCCACCTCCGAAGGTCCCCATCGGCGACGGGACTTTCCCTCCAAGACAGTGGACGGCGATTCGGAACCGCCCGCGCGGCAGCAGACGCTTCGGAAGCGGAGAGAGGGCGGGCCGCCGTCGCCGAGAGAGGGTTCGGAGAAGCTCGTGCTCGTGCAGGTTGACGCTGAGCCGGAGCGCGCGCGGCTCCGACGGCATTTCCGGGTCCGTTATGGCGGTCTTCGCGGGGCGGAAGATGATGTCGCGGAAGGGGGTGAAGGAAATGGTGATTACGACTCGGGATTCGTTAGTCGGAGAGAGGTGGGAGGGGCGGGTGAGAAGGAGGATGAGAGGGACGAGGACGGTGCGGAGGGCGCGGAGGAAGCGGCGGAGGCGGACGCGGCGGAGAAGGCGGAGGCGAGCAAGGAGGGAGAGGAGGGGCGTGTTTTTAAATATCCCCCTGTGAAGCGACAGGATTATCACAAACACCATCATGAGCAGGGAGCTGTTCTGAGGCAGTCGACTGAGCTGCAAGGTACCAACGCCACCACAAGGACTACCGTCATCCGAGCCGGCGCTGCTTCTAATAGTGATACTAATGCCATCAGTGCTCCCAACAACGCCTCCGTCGCTGGTGTTTACGGCGGCGGCGAAGGGGCCGGCAGCGGCCGAGAAGGCGATAGTGGGGGCGACGGCGGCTGCGGCGGCGGCAGCGACGCCGGCAGCGGCGGCAGCCGTGGCGGTGGCAACGCGGGAAGCGTCGTCCCCGTTCCTTCTTCTCGCCCTTGCCCCACTCCTTGTCGTCATGCTCTCCCCCATTCCCCGACCCCCGTTCCCCTGGAAGAAGGTACTCTTCCCACTGCGGCTATCACCGCCACCACCTCTGCTGCTACTACCAAAGTCGTCACCACCACTGCTGCTATCACCGACGCCGCCACTACCAGCGTTGCCACATGCAATGCCTCGCAAGCTGCCGTATCCCACGGCGAGACAAGTGGCAGCGAGAGCAGTGACGGCAGTGAGGGCAGTGGGGGCAGTGGGGCCCGGCGGTGCAAGCGAAGCCGGGAGACAAGTGGTGGCGACGGCTCGAAAGAGAGAATGTGCTCTCCGAGGTGTGGGAAGGCGGCTGCTGCTGGGGTTGATGCTCGGCGTTGCGGACGGCAGGGGCAAGAGGAAGAGGGGGAGAAGGGATGGCAGAGGGGGAAAGGGGAGTCAGGTAGGGCGGCGGAGGAGGAGCAGGAGGGGCATGAAGGGGAGGGCGAACGTGGGAGTAGCGTTCCACGCTCGCGCAACGGAGTTGGTGACGTTGTACGGTTCTCAGCTTCTGGTTCTGAGGTGGCCGTTGCAGTCACCACACCGGAACACACGGCAGCTGCACTAGCTGGAGAACAAGACACGGCAGCAGCAGCAGCAGCAGCAGCGTCACCCGGCGAGGGGAAAACCGAAGTCGGCGAAGCTCGAGGGGGCCTTTTGGGGCCCGCTCCACCTCCCCCGCCGCCACCACCCACCCGCAAGCCGCGGATCAAAGGCGCGCAGGGGGGACCGGACAACAGCAGGCACTCGTTCCGGGGCGTGCGGCAGCGGCAGTGGGGCAAGTGGGTGGCGGAGATTAAAGAGCCTCGGCACCGCAAGCGCGTGTGGCTGGGATCGTTTGACACGGCGGAGGAGGCAGCTCGCGCGTATGACCATGCTGCCCGCGTGTTCCATGGACCTCGGGCCAAGTGTAACTTGGATGTGACAGGTGGTGGGGATGCCGGGGAGGGGGGGGTGAGGGGAGGGGCAGGAGGAGGAATGGGAGTGGAGGGGGATGGAGAAGAGGCGGGTCGGGCGGGGAAGGGTGGGCGGGGGAGTGGACGAAAAGGGAGAGGGAGAGGGAGAGGGAGGGGGAGAGGGAGGGGGCGGGGGAGGGGGAGAGCGATAAGTGTGAGCGAGGAGAGTGGGAGTGGGAGTGGGAGTGCGAGTGGGGGTGCTAGTCCGAGCTCTAGTGTGGATGGCTGTGTGAGTGGCAGCGGCAGCAGAATCTCTGCTGCTGCGTCGTTTCCCCGGTGGAGGAAAGCTGGGATTGGAGGTGATAAAGCCTCTCTCGCCGACCGAACAGGTCGAATAGAGCAGAAAGATAGAGCAGACCAAACATGTGTAGCGACGCCAGCTCCGGTTTTGGTTCCTGCAGCTATTCCACCTCTAGAGTTGACTGTTGGCTCAGCACAGGGTTTACCTGTTGCTTCCGATCAAGGCACAATGACAAGGCAAGGAATGGAGTTGCCTGCACCACCACTGCTTGCAACAGCAGCCTCGGAACCAGCAGGCTCGGAACCAGGAGGTTCGACACCAGGAGGCTTGGTAACAGCAGAATCGATGGCACCAGCAGCCTCAGAAGCACTTGTGGAGACGGGAGTCATAGCAGCAACAGCGGCGGCAGCAGCGGTTGTGGGTGGTGGTCCCACGTCATCAGGCTCTGGCCTCGGAGGGCATGAGCTGCAGCTCACATGTCAACCCACACTGCCACCTGTAGTGAGGCCCGCATTGACACCCATGCTGATACCCACTCTAAGCCCAGCAAGCAGTGGCAGCATTCCGCAGTGGCACGCCCCCCGTGCTTCTCAACACATGCTCCCAGAGTTCACGTCGCCTATCAGAGGCCCAACTGCCCGGCCAGGCTCTTACTCCCGACCCTGCTTCACCCCGCCTGCCCCGCGTTTCCTCTCCATGCCGATGGGTGTGAGTGAGGGCAAGTCGTGGGACGATAGCTGCAGCGACGGCGGCAGGGATTCAGGCGCTGGGGTGCTGGGAGGGAATGGATTGATGGCTGGTTGGAGCATGGGAGGGGCGAGCATGGGAGGGGCGAGCATGGGAGGGGCGAGCATGAACAGCTGGAGCAGTGCTTGTGGCGGGGTGGACTCCTGTGTTGAAAGGGCAGCAGCACGGGTGGCAGAGACGAGTGCAAACGGCGGCGGTGGCAGTGGCGGTGGCAGTGGCGGTGGCAGTGGCGGTGGCAGTGGCAGCTGCGGCATGTCATGGTGTGGAAGTGGTGGCGCCTTTCCTCATGGGAGATGCGAAGGGCAGCACATGAGGTGTGAGGGGCAGCATGTGCGCTGTCAAGGCCTGCACGCTCGCTGCCAAGGGCTCTTCCCGCACAACATGAGGCCTCGCCTCCTCACCATCCCCTCCTTCGCGCTGCGAGCCTTCAGACCGTCTCCTCTCTCCTCCCACTTCCCTCGCGCGTTTCGCTCGCCATCCCCCTTCTCGTCCGCTTCTGTAGTTGACTCTGCGTCATCCTTCGCTCCTTTACCTTCTGCTCCTAGACCTTCCCCGCGTCCCCTGACCGTCTCCGAGACCCAAGCGAAGCTTCTGCACGTCTGTGCATCAGCACCGTCTGTGGCATCAGCGGCACCAGCAGAAGCGGCGGCAGCAGCAGGAGTGGGAGCAGGTGTTGCAGAGAATCCCAAAGGCGCTACCCCAGAGGCTGCAGGGAAAGCAGTAGCGGCTGGAAAAGCACCTCTCTTCTTGGTCCCTTGCCCAAGACCTGTGGAGAACGGGGGTAGTATAGGCAGCCGCCGCCTTGGCAGCGGCTCTGGTGGAAATTCTGCTGATTCTGCTGGTCCCCGCCTGCTCTCTCTCCCTCGGGACCTGTGGATTCCTGCACCGAAGCAGCACGAGAAGCGAAGACACTTGCAGCATCACCAGGAGCAGCAGGAGAAGGAGCAGGAGCAGGAGCAGGAGCAGACAAAACAGCAAGAAGAGGAGCCGCAGGAGGAAAATCAGCAACGAGAAGAGCAACGACAGGCGCAGCTGCAGGGAGTAGTAGGGGAAGAAATGGAGCGGGCGATGTCGTGTTGGCAGCACCAGATGCCAGAACACCGAGGAGAAGCAGCAGCACAAGCGCAAGGGCAAGAAGCAGAATCAGAAGCAGCAGGCTCAGGCGCACCGAAAGCATCACCAGCAATGCTGATACCTCCACCACCGCCACTGCTACCACCAACCCAACCTCAAGCACGCACAGCATCTCCGGGTTTATTCTCAGTCAGGGCAGCAATGGATCAACAGCATATCAGTGGCTCCAGTGTTGGAGCTTTCAAGACCCCTCAACAATCAAGCCACCATGCAAGTTATGCAACCGCAGCTTCTTCTTCTCTCTCTCTCACTGCCCCCTCCACTTCCCAACCCTCACATCCTACCCCTCACTCGGTACACACAAGACCACACCAAACCGTCCCCCCTATGCCTCCTCCCCATCCCAAACTCCTCTCTCTCACATCCTCCGAGCCTCTCCTGGCATGCCACCTGTCGACGGCCCATTCGACGTTTCATCGGAGTGGTATTAACCAGCCTCGCTCCCCATTCCCCCTCTGCACGCGGCTACAGATGCCGGTAACCTTTTGGGGTGCTCCCCCTGCTGCTCCTGCTGCTGTCGCACCTGCTGTTTCCCCCCCGGCCACTGCCTCGCAAATCCTTCCACCCAACGCCTCTGCTGCTCCTCCTCCACTTCCTCCTTCTCCTCATCCTCCTCCTCCTCCTCCTCCTCCTGCTCCTGCTCCTGCCAGCAGCGCTGCCACGGATCTCATCCCCATTTTCCCCTTCCAAAGCATATCACTCGACGCGCACGCGCACGGAGAATCCTCCCTTGTGGAAAGCCACTTCGGACTAACCACCCCCATGGACACATACCCTGCACGGCTGCTACTGGGGGAGCCAGAGCCCGAGGCGGAGTCGCAGCAGGTGTTTGCACGAGAGGGGCCAGAGATCTCCTGGGGGGATGTGCTGGAGGCAGACTCGTGGGACGACATCTGAGTGGGGCATGGAGATGAGAGAGTTGTCTCGGGCGTCTCATGGCCCCTGGGGGGATGTGCTGGAGGCAGACTCGTGGGACGACATCTGAGTGCTGCGTGGAGATGAGAGGGTTTGAATCGGTTCTCAGGCGTGCCATGGTTCCTGGGAGGGTGTTGTGGAAGCTGACTCATGGGATGACGTCGGAGCACGGGAGGCGAGTGTGTCCACCGACATTTGACTGCTCTTTGCAAGGCTTAGAGGCTGAGGCGAAGGCAAATGCCATGGTTTTCTCAATCAAGGCCGGAGACTCTTTACCCCCATGGGTATGCGTTCGTTGTGATACGGGCAGAGAGCAACTTATGGCTCTGGTGCGGAAAAACAGCGCATGCGCACACGCGTGAGTCCGCGTGAGTGAGCTATGCTATCGAAACAGGTCTACGCCGTGTGATTCAGGATTCTGCACAGATAATGCCTGCTTCTTTTTGAGGCGCCTCAAAAAAAAAAAAAAAAAAAAAAGTGAGCTATGCTATCGAAACAGGTCTACGCCCTGTGATTCAGGATTCTGCACAGATAATGCCTGCTGCAAGGCAGCCGAGCACCTGCCAGCGCCAAGTGCGAGCGAGCACGCACCAGCCTGATCTCTACCGGCAGCGCTGCTCCACCCACCTGTATATTTCAGAGTCCAGCAGGCAGGGCACAGGGATATTGCATGAACGACACAACATGCAGCTCCTTCATAAACCCTGTGCTTTTGAGCATGGTGTACCTATGTTACTAGGAATACGGTAGGTACCAGCGAACATTCTGCCAATTTGTATGTTGCATACATGTCTTGGTTCTAAGAACCCAGCAGGCTCATTGTTAGCCTGTCATCTTCCTTTGAGCCACGGCACACTTACAGGCCATGGAGCAAAAAGCAGCGCCACAATAGCTCTAGTACCGTGAGAGAACTGCCAAACCATACCATAGCAGAGACTAGTGGGGATAGGCACCACCAGACGGATGAGACATGCAAGGCAGGCACCACCAGTGTATCACAGACTGAACATTCGGCGTTACATAATACCGTAAAAGCTTTTGAGATATATCAATTGGGCCACACTGCACACAACCTTACAGTTAACAAAGAGTTTTTTTTTTGTCAGCAGCATGTGTTTGAAGGCACCTCTGCACGTGTTTACTGCAAACTGTGAGGGGCATTCCCTGAGCAAATAAGCAGGGAAGAAAGCAAACCAGAACCATGCAGGTCCTCTTATATCCATTCAGTAAATATAAGCCCAAACAACACTCCCCAGGTTTTAAGGCTGCCTCAAAAGTCACCAACAGCCATTCATTGCACGAGGTGGCTGTTGAGTCGGCTCAAGAGGGCGCCCTGCCTTGCCCTGCCCATCCCTGCTCCTGTATCGAGTCAGTCTTTAAAGTATGACGAGCTCTAAACTGTGACTGTGCTCGGTCCGTGTGAGCCAGTCACAGATGTCTCTTGCAACGTGGTACCATACACGCTTGGTCGTGCGTGCCATGCCATGCCATGCCATGCCATGTTCTACTGTGCACCTCCGCCTCCACCTCCTCCCGAGGAGGGTGGGCGAGCAAGAATGCTCTTCTTGCGGGTGAGCTTGTGGATTGTCTCCACTAGCAGCCTGATGGGGCATTGGGGGGTGAGGGAGAGGTTGCAGGGGCGAGGGAGAGAGAAGAGCGGGGGAAGGAGGGATGGGAGGAGGGATGGGAGGAGGGATGTGAGGAGGGATGGGAGGAGGGATGGGAGGAGGGATGGGAGGAGGGATGGGAGGAGGGACGGGAGGAGGGATGGGAGGAGGGATGGGAGGAGGGATGGGAGGAGGGATGGGAGGAGGAATGGGAGGAGGGATGGGAACAGTGGAAGGTCAGTGTGTGAATGGTTGCGTGGAACGGAAAGAAGGGCGAGCGTGGAAGAAATGCGACGCGGACAAGTACAGCTCTCGAATGCCATGCCATGCCATGTCATGCCCTGTCCCGCCATGCAAGCAAGGCAAGCACGTACCGTATGTTTATTGGCTTGGTGAGGTATCCATCCATACCGCACTGCCTGCACTTGGCCTCGTCACTGCTCATCACAAGGAGCGGACGGAGAGAGCAGGGGAGAAGAGGGGGAGAGAGGGGGAGAGAGGGGGAGAGAGGGGGAGAGAGGGGGAGAGAGGGGGGGAAGAAAGGAAGTGGGGGATGGGGTGGGGAGAAGGAAGCAGAGCCGGCAAATATTTTTGTTTAAGGTTTCCCACAAGGCCACGGAAGGGGGTTGGGTGGAGGGTGAGTGATGGTGCAAGAATTGGGAGCACAAAAGAATTGATAGACAAGACACAAAGAATGTGAGAGGCAGCGAGGCTTGACCTCCGTGGACCCCCATGCGTTTCAAAGTGGACTAAAAATGACTTTCTGCCTGCATGTGTCTCACCTAACAAGATTCTCACCTGGCTAACGCGTGCGCAGTGAGAGCACAAATGATTGTATGCCGCCCGTTCCTGGCCTCTGCCGCCCGGATCGTGCGGGTGGCAGTGTAGCCATCCATCACAGGCATCTGCACCGCAGCAATGGCAACAATGGGAGTGATGGCAGTGATGGGGATGATGGGGATGATGGGGGTGATGGGGGTGATGGGAGTGATGGAAGAGGAAGGGAGAGAGGGTCAAGGAGGAGCGGAGTGGTTAACACTGTACTAAGTACAACCAAAAAAGATGTCAGCTGAGACCAAATCTGTGAGAACAAGAAAACCAAAAAAAAGGGAGAAGAAATCCCTGAAATCACTCCCTGCAGGCATATTGCAGGGGTGTTGCGCCAAACATGGCAGGGGGGGTGGATAACTGTACGGAGTTGAGAAAAGGCGAATCCGAGGGGAACAACAGACAGCCGCCTTGTGAAGGTGGCGTACCCAAATATTTTAAAAGTGGCACGTGGATAGGCGATCGTGGGAGGGAAAGAAGAGGGAGAAGCGGGGTTGAGAGGAGGGAAGGCGTGCATACCTGACAGTCCATAAGCACCACGTCAAACGCCTCTCCACCGCTACTACTTCCTCTCGCTGCCCTGCCGACGCCCCTCTGCCCTCCACGCGCTCCCCCTCCTCCTGCTGCTAAATCCGCCCCCCCACCACCACTCCCACCACTCCCATCCCACCCGCCTCTGCTCCTCGGCCGCCTACCCTCCCCATCCCCCTCCCCTCTCTCCCCCTCTCCACCTCCTCTCCCCGCTCCACCACTCGCAGCAGCAGCAGCAAGCCGGGCGTCTTCAGCAATCCAGCTGCTGGTAACCGCATCAACAGCCTGCTGCCCATCAGCCACCACCATCACCTCTGCTCCCAGCTTCTTCAGCAGCGACTGAGCCAGCTTCTGTAGAATAGCCGTGTCTTCTACCAGTAACACGTGGTAACCGGCTAGAGGCTGCGACTTGTCGAGTTTCCCTGGCGTGCTGCTGCTGGTCGGGGTGCCGGTGCTGCTGGTGGTGCTTGTGCTGGTGGCGGTGGGGGTGGTGCTTTCAGCCCCTCCTGCTCCTCCTCCTCCGGATGGAGTAGTTGCAGTGGGGGTGAAGGAACCTGCTGGAGAGGCCAGGGATGATGTTGGTGTTTGTACCAGCGCCGATGCTGCTGCTGATGCTGCTGCTGCTGCTGCTGCAGAGGATGCTGATTCGCCTTTGGTACTACTACTCCTCCCCCCTCCCACCATACCCAGTAGATCCTTCGCGCTGCCCTTCCGACCAAGCCCAAACCTGCTCCTTCCACCACCCTCGTTCGCACCATCCTCCCCTCCATCCCTACTCTCCCTGCCACTCCCCTTCCTCACCATACTCCTCCCACTGCTCCCGCCACTCCCACTACTCCACCCACCCTGACCGCCCTCCCCACCCCCGTCCCTCGAATCCTTCCCACTGCCTTTCCGTGACATGCTCCTACTGCTGCTGCCGCCACTGCTGCTACCTCCCAAGGAGGAGAGAAGGGAAGCAAGGTCCTTATGGCTCCCCTTGCGCGGAATCGACGGGGGAATGGGGGACTTTTGCGGGGTGTCTAGAGTAGGAGTGCCTGCTGGTGGGAAGGCGTCAGCTTGCGGTGTGATGGGGGGCACGCTCGGGGATTTCTGAAGGGTGTCCACCGCAGCAGCTGCTGCTGCTGCAGCAGCAGCAGCAGCAGCAGCAGCAGCAGCAGCGGTGGTGGTGGTGGTGGTGGTGGAGGGCGGGGAATGCGGGTGTTTGGAAGGTTCCGGAGCAGCGGCGGCAGCAGCAGGAGGGGGAGTGTGTGAGGGAGGGGTGGGTGAGACGCTGGGATGGTTCCAGGAGGACCCAAGTTGAGGAGAGAGCGGGTCGGCGAACGTGGGGGAGGTGAGGGAGGGTGTGGGGGAGAGGATGAGCGCAGGGGGAGCAGGAGCAGAGCCTAGTGTGATAGACCGCTGGCTACGTAGCCTTACTGCCGATCCCCCCCCTCCTTCCCCTCCTGCTCCTCCTGCTCCTCCTCCTGTTGATGCTGCATCTGCTGTTCCAAACAAACCCGTTCCTGTGGTAGGAGGCTTAGCAGCAGCAACACCACCACCACCACCACTAGCAGCAGCAGCAGCAGCAGCAGCAGCAGAAGCAGATGGTGCATCGTCTGCTGTGCTGCGTATCCCAGGGTTGAAGGTAGCAGTACTGGCAGCAGACGGCACGTCAGAGATGGGGGAGAAGGAGGGCGAGGAAGTGTGGAGGGAGGAGAAGGAGAGGGAGGGACAACTGAGGTGCACGTGAGGAGGTGAAGCATCGGATGCAGCATCACCAGCAGCAGTTGGAGCAACAGCAGAAGCAGCAGCAGCAGCACCAGCACCAGAAGCAGCACCGGAGAGCGAGGGACCAGAAACAGGTGCTCCATCAATCCCTCCTGCTCCTGCTCCTCCTCCTGCTTTTCCTCCCCCTCCTCCTCCACCACCCTCCCCTTGCCCTCTCCTAGTATCCGCCCCTCTCCCCCCCACCAGCCCACCCGGCCCACGGCCACCCTTCCCTCCTCTCCCTTCTCCTGCCCCTCCTCCTCTTACTCCTCCACCTCCTCCCCCACCACCAGTGATCCCACCACCCCATGCTGCTCCCCCCTCTCCCGCCCCCTCTGTAAGGGCGGACAAGGAGATCCCAGCAGGTAGAGAATGCATGGGGCGGAGGCCCCCCCCTCCCTTCCGAGACACGTGCAAGGGCGAGTGGTGCGCAGGCGCGGGGAGGGGCAGCAGCCTGTTGCGACCCATCCCCCCCACTCCGCCCCCCATTCCCCCCATGGTCCCCATGGTTCCCATGCTCATGCCACCTGGACCAACGCTCCCCATTCCTCCAGACGTCGCCGCCCCTGATCCTGCTCCCCATCCCAACCCAAACGTCTGCTGCTGCTGCTGCTGGTACAGCATCTGCTGCTGCTGGAGCAGCAGCTGCCGCTGGTAACCAGTACTGTTACCACCACCACCACCGCCACCACCACCCATACCAGCGCTGCCGCTGCCAGTCCCGTGAGAGAGAGAAGCAAGTGAGTCTGGAGGTACAAGGCCGTAGGCAGCAGCATGCAGAGCAGCAGAGGACCCTGATTGGGGCCGGTCAGCGGAGAACTCTAGCTGCCCCCCCATGCGCGGCATTTCCGAGCGAGACCGCTGCAGAGGAGGCAGATGGGATGGGCCTGTCATACCCATCCCCATCCCCATACCCATACCCATACCCATGCCCATGCCCATGCCAATACCCGTACCCATGCCATTACCCATGCCCATACCCATGCCTGTTCCTCCTCCCGCTCCAAGCCCTGCTCCCATCCCCGAGGTATGATTCCACCTGCCGCCTCCTGCAGTGCCCATGCCAGCACCACCCGTACCAGCTGGTACGGCAGCAGAAGCAGCAGCAGCAGCACCGGTGAAAGTCGCCCTAGTAGCAGCAGCAGAGGGAGCGCTACGATTGACAGCCGAATGCCCCCACATGCCCGCCGCTGGTCCCACTGCCATCCCACTTGCACCGTCAAACAGACTCCCCCCCCGCCCACCAGCACCAGCACCAGCACCAGCACCAGCAGCAGCAGCAGCAGCAGCAGCAGAGGTGGAGTCTCCTGCGTGGCTGTCAGGTGGTGAGGCCAGCAATCCCTGAGTCAACACCGCGTCGAAGCTACTCCTCCGCCGATGCTGCCCTGCTCCCGCCCCCCCCCCCCATCCCCATCCCCATCCCCTGCCCCCCTCGCCCCGCTCCTGCTCCCCCTGCTGTGGACCTTCTCCCACCTCTCCTCCCCCCTTGCCCCACTGCTGCTGCACCTGCACTTGCCACTGCACCAACACCTGCAGAGGCCCCAAACCCGCCAGCAGCAGCAGCAGCAGCAGCACTGCCAGCAGCAGCACCGGCGCTGCTAGCACCACCAGAGACCCCTGAAGAGGACTGAACAGGAGACGTGATGAGAGAGCGAAACGCAGCAGGCCCCGACCCTTCCCTCCCCAGCAACCCCCCTGCCCCCCCTCCCCCTCCTCCTGCTGCTGCTGCACCAAATGCACCAGTACCCCCAGTCCCAGGCCCAGGAACCCCCGGCAACCCCCGGTTAATAATCGACTCCCACACACTCCCCAAGCTGGGCCGGTTGATGGATAGCCGCCCGGATAAGCTTCCCACTCCTGCTGCTGAGTTGGAAAGGGCTGATGAATCCATGTTGAAATCGAGGGATGTGTGGGTGGTAGGGACGAGTCGGGTGAACGAGGTGACATCTGAAAGAGAGGAGGTGAGGGGTGGGCCAGCGGTGGAGGAGGAGGAGGAGAACATGTTACTGATGCTGCTGCTTATGCCGTTGCTGGTGCCGTTATTGTTCAGGGTGATACTGTGGGCTGTGCCGTTATTATTGTTGCTGCTGCTGTTGTTGTTGCCGCCGTTGTTATTGTTGTTGCTGCTGCTGGCCCCGTCAACATCAAAGCCCATGCCGCCACCACCACCACCAACAGCCCCCTCCCCGGAAGCCGACGAAACAAGCCGGACCAACGCCGTGTGCAAGTTGCGAAGGCGGGACGAGTGCAGCGGCCGGGAAGTCAGCACGGTATTCGGCTGCTGCTGCAGGAACCTCCGGATAACCGGGTTCACCCCAGGCGGTAGCAGCCACACCACCAGCAGGTTCTGATTCGCCTTGCACCGCTTCCCTCGCAGCGTCTTCATCTCCTCACAGAGCTTTCCCACCTCTGGAGGAACCTGGCGCGGGTATTGCTGCTGCTGCCCCCCACCTGCCCCTTCTGCTCCTGCTCCCCTCCCACCGCCAGCAGCACTGGCACCACCAGCACCGCCACCACCAGCAGCACTCCCACCAGAAGCACCACCATAGCCCCCCCCACCTCCCCCCACTGGCCTCCCCCACTCGTCCTCCATATAGCCCTCCTCAAATCCGTCAAAATTACCCCCAAACGAGGGCATGAGCGCAGGCATACCTGCAGAGGAAGCACCCACAGCTAGGGGATCCAAACCACTGGTATCCGCTGGTGCTGTGCATAGGTGCTTCCCTGACGGCAGAAGCATTAGGTCTACCACCACGGCTATACAAGACACTTCCACCACTGCCGCCGCCGCCGCTGCTGCTGCTGGTCCGGTTGGACCTGTGGCTCCTGCGGCTGTTCCTGTGGCTGCTGCTGCAGCAGCTGCAGCCGCCATGTGGGCGGATAGTATCCCCCCCCCCGTGCTGCCGCTGCTGCTGCTCTTTTTCATCATTGGCTCCGCTTTAGCAGACAGGAAGGAAGAAAAAACGCCTCTTGCACCCCCCCCTCCTCCTCCTGCTCCTCCTCCTGCTGCTGCTGATGCCAAACGGCCGCCTGCAACCCCTCCGCCATCCCCTCCCCCACCCCCCACCACGCCGCCGCCAGCAGAAGCAGCACCAGCAGCAACAGCGGAGCGCGAAACCATCTCAAGGTTGCCACTCCGCGTACGGTACTTCATAGACAAGCCGCCGCCGGTCCCGTTCGCACCCCCATCACCCTCACTCCCACCACCACCACTGCCACCGCCACCACCAGCTGAACTAGCACTCCCACCATTGCGACCCCCAGAAGCAGCAGCAGCGGAGGAGAGGCCAGCAAAGCGTGCCGATACCATCCCTGTTGTTGTGGCCTCCCTTGCACTCCCCCCTGACAGCTCCTCCACAGGAAGCCCATCGTTGGCGTCTGGCACAGTGACAGAGAGAGGGGAGAGCGAGCGCAGCGCTCGCACCCCTGCCACACGTGCACCGGTGCTGCCGCCGCCGCCGCTGCTGTCAGCAGGGGTGGAAGCCGGAGAGAGGGAGTTGGGGGAGTAGCCAGAGAGGGCTGAGAGCCCCTCAGAGCCGATGTGTATGGATTTGGATCGCGGCACAGCAGACGGCCAGAAGCTCTCCAGCCCTCCCAGTCTGCCCCTTCCCCCGCTACTGCCACTCCTGCCGCCGTCGCCACCGCCGCCGCCGGTGCTGCTGCTGTTGCTGAGTCTCTGCTCCTCCCCTGCTGCTTCTAACTCGACTGCAGCAGCTGCTGCAGCAGCGGCAGCAGAGGCAGCAGAGGCGGCGGCGGTGGCAGCAGCAGCAGCGGCAACAGCAGCTGGGGAGGTGACAAGCTCAGGACTGCTGTGGGAGAGAGACATGCCCACATGAGACGCCTGCAGCAGGGCTTGTGCCCCTGCCAGCCGTGCTGCTGCTGATGGTCCACTCACACCCGTTCCTGCCACACCACCACCACCACCACCCCTTGTCATCCCTCCGCCCACCCCTGTCCCAGCCCCTACACCTCCCACTCCTACCGCTACCCCTCCTCCTCCCCCTGCTCGTCCTGCTCTGTCTGCTGAGACGGTGCGAATGGCAGCAGGAGCGGAGTCGGTACTACTGCTACTGAGCCCTGGCCCCGCCATGTGGGGAGAGGTTGAGCGGAAAGCAGAAGCAGTAGCAGCAGGAGAGAACGCAAGAGCAGCAGAAGCAGAAGCAGCACCCGTGGCAGTACCAGTAGCAGAGGAGATTCCAGCGCCGGCAGACGCAACGCCTCGCGGGGTGGCAGTGCGAGACTGAACGGCACTAGCACTGGCGGAAGGGGCACCACTCGCAGTCCCACGCCCACCCGCCCCACCCTGCCCCGACCGGGTGCTCCCAGTCCCAGAAGCAACAGAGGGCATGGCGGACGCATGCAGGACGTAGCTCAGGCTGGGGAAGATACTATCCCACGACCGCACCTGCTTCACTGCAAGCCCCTGCCCTTCGAACCAGCGAGAGGCCACGGCTTTCCCAGGGCATTCGGACATGGCAAGTAGCACATGCCACTTCATTCTCACTCCTCCTCCTTGCCCCGCTCCTCCCCCCCCTGCTCCTCCGATTCCCCCGGTCAAATCCTGCGTCCCGTCTAGTAGCGAACTGTGGGTTACTCTCTGAAGCGGCACGCTCAGCTGCTGCCCTGTTCCTCCTCCTCCTCCTCCGCCTCCTCCTCCCACCCCTCCGGCTACTCCTATTCCTGACCCGGCTCGATTCAACCCGGTCCAAGCAGCACCCAGGTCGTTGCTACCAGGAGCAAGAGTGCCAGACATGCCCAGGAATGCGCGTAAACCGCTAAGTCCCGAAACGGCAGAGCTGCCTCCTATGGTGGAGGAGGAACGGCCTGGCCCACTGCCCCCCATACCGCCAGCACCCCAATCAGACGGACTCTCTGCCTCTCCCTCCTCCCCTCCCGCTCCCACTCCCCCTCCTCCTCCTCCTCCTACGCTGCTCTCCCCTCCAGTTGCCGCAGCAGCAGAGGCGGCACCGGTGCTGGTCAGCAGAGCGCCAGCAGGAGCAGCAGGAGGAGCAGAGGCAACAGCCAGCACGCCCCCCTCTAGGCCTGATGTGACACTGGCTGAGTCCGTGTCTTGTATCAACGGAATGCCAGAGCCGTACCTGGGATAGTAGCAGAGAAGAGAGCAGGGGGGAGGGGAGAGATGGGAAGAGAGAGATTCGGAGAGGTGATGGTTCCGGAAGGGAATGGTTGGCAGGGAAAAGAAGAGGGGGGGTGACTTTTGAGAAAGGAATGGAAGGGAATTCTCAAAAGTCACTCCGGAAGGGAATGGTTGGCAGGGAAAAGAAGAGGGGGGGTGGGAGGAAGGGTGTATGAGAGAAAGAGAGAGCAACGGACGGCTAAAGCATGGGAGGTATTGGGAGGGGTACGAGAGGTCGTGAGGGGACGGGGAGGGGAAGGGGATGGGGAGGGAGGGTGAAAGAAGAGAGATAAACGCAGGGAACGGAATAGACTAAAAGATGATAACAAGAGTGAAAGGTGCTGACAGAGTATTTTTGAGAATTCTCAAAAATACTTTGCAACATCAGGGAACGGAATGGACTAGAATGACGATAACAAGAGTAAAAGGCGCTGACCCTCCCTTCTCTTTCCCCTTTCCCCGCCCCCCTCCCCTTCCCCATCCCTCTTCCCCTTCGACTTCCCTTCTCCCCCCGTCCCCCTTCCATTTCCCTCTTTCCTCTTTCTCCCCCCACCTCCCCTCCCCCTTCCCCTCCCCCTCCCCTTCCCCTTCCCCTCCCCCCCACGCACCTAACAGGCCCCCCAAGCCCAGGCAGAGGCAGCTGCAGCAGCGGAGGGGGGGGCGGGGGGGGCGGGGGAATCTTCAACCGGATATGGAACCGCATCAGCGTCCCCTGCTCGTCCTTATCCCCCACCGCAATACCCCCTCCCATCAGCTCCACCAACCCCCGCACAATATACAGCCCCAGCCCGGACCCTCCGTGCGTGCGTGTAGACGACGCATCAACCTGAACAAAGCTCCCAAACACCTGCTCCCGCTTGTCTACAGGGATCCCACACCCTGTATCGTCCACTTCGAATACCAACACCACCTCCTCCTCCTCCACCTCCCCTGCGCCGCCTCCCGCCCCCGGCCCCATCCCTCCACCGTCCAGCTTAAACCCACTCACTGATCCAGCTATGCTTCTCCTCCTCCCGCCTCCGCCCCCCCGCGCCCCACCGCTCCCAACCCCTCCCATTGCCCCCCAGGGCCGGCCGCTAGACGAGACCTGCAGGCTAGACCAGCTATACCCTACCATAGACTCGGTCCGTCTGCTGGTGAGAGGGCCGGCGAGGGCGGACATAGGGACAAGCGGAGGGCCGTTGAGCATGCTTGGAGTGGTGGAGATGGAGGGGCGGAGGAATGTGCTGGAGTGGTGTGTGCGGGGAGCTGCGGCGGCTGCAGCAGAGGAGGCGGCGGAGTGGCGGTTGCCTGGGAGAGAGGCTGTGGTGGAGGAGGAGTGGGTGGTGGTGAAGGGGAGGGCGGATCCTAGCCCGAAGAACGACAGAGGGTCCTCTGCTAGGGGCTGGGGGGAAGAGGGGGAGTGGGGGAGAGTGGGGAGGGAGTGGGGAGGGAGTGGGGAGGGAGTGGGGAGGGAGTGGGGAGGGAGTGGAGGAGGAGAGAGAGTGGAGGTTTGGAGTGGAAGAGGGAGGAAAGGTGGATTCTCACTGTCTCCCTCACTTGCTCCCTCGTTCTTCTTACTCCATCCAACCCTCTCCCCACCTCATCACTTTTGTGACTTCTCAACAGTGAATCTGGCTGACTCGGAACGGAAAGAACGCACCTGCTTGCTCTCCACCCACGCGGGCACCACAATGTGCCCCTTCACTGTGAACTTCACAGAGTTGGCCGGGCAAGATACAAGCAGGTTCGTTCGTCAGCACCTGCGGGGTCATTGAGCCGCCTCACAACACATGCATTGCTCGCACGCACCTGCTTGCTCTCCACCCACGCGCGCACCACAATGTGCCCCTTCACTGTGAACTTCACCGAATTCGCCAGCAGGTTCGTGAGCACCTGCCGGAACCGCCCTGCATCGCCTATCACCATCAGGGGGAAGTCGTCTGGGGCGGCCAGGCGGAAGGAAGAGAGGGGTAGGGGGAAGGCAGGGGGGGGAGGGGGTGGGGAGGCGAAAGCCGGGAAGGGGGGGAAGGGGGTGTGGGAGGGGAGAAAACGGGATGGAATGGAAGGGGAGAGAGAGGGGGTGGTTCTCGAAAAGAACCTACCAGGAAGAAGCTCTTTGAGGGCACGCACGGCAAACGCACGGCAAACGCACGGCAAACGCACGGCAAGCGCACGGCAAGCGCACGGCAAACGCACGGCAAATGCACGGCAAGCGCACGGCAAACGCACGGCACGGGAGGGCAGGCAGGCACGCACCGGAGACGTCTAGAGCAATGTCAATGTCGTGGGGGATGCAGTGCACTGAGAAGAGATCCACGAGGGCCTCTAGCTCCTCCAGTATGTGGAACGGCGCCACTGCCAGCTCCAACACGCCCGACTCCACCTGATGCCGCCACGCAAGCAAGCATTCGAGAAGAAGAAAGCATTCGGGAGCAGGTGCGAGAATAGAGGGACGTCGGAAGGAGAAACGGCCCAAGGAGAGGGAACATGTTTTGAGACGTCTCAAGAAACGGCCCAAGGAGAGGGAACATGTTTTGAGACGTCTCAAGAAACGGCCCAAGGAGAGGGAACATGTTTTGAGACGTCTCAAGAAACGGCCCAAGGAGAGGGAACATGTTTTGAGACGTCTCAAGAAACGGCCCAAGGAGAGGGAACATGTTTTGAGACGTCTCAAGAAACGGCCCAAGGAGAGGGAACATGTTTTGAGACGTCTCAAGAAACGGCCCAAGGAGAGGGAACATGTTTTGAGACGTCTCAAGAAACGGCCCAAGGAGAGGGAACATGTTTTGAGACGTCTCAAGAAACGGCCCAAGGAGAGGGAACATGTTTTGAGACGTCTCAAGAAACGGCCCAAGGAGAGGGAACATGTTTTGAGACGTCTCAAGAAACGGCCCAAGGAGAGGGAACATGTTTTGAGACGTCTCAAGAAACGGCCCAAGGAGAGGGAACATGTTTTGAGACGTCTCAAGAAACGGCCCAAGGAGAGGGAACATGTTTTGAGACGTCTCAAGAAACGGCCCAAGGAGAGGGAACATGTTTTGAGACGTCTCAAGAAACGGCCCAAGGAGAGGGAACATGTTTTGAGACGTCTCAAGAAACGGCCCAAGGAGAGGGAACATGTTTTGAGACGTCTCAAGAAACGGCCCAAGGAGAGGGAACATGTTTTGAGACGTCTCAAGAAACGGCCCAAGGAGAGGGAACATGTTTTGAGACGTCTCAAGAAACGGCCCAAGGAGAGGGAACATGTTTTGAGACGTCTCAAGAAACGGCCCAAGGAGAGGGAACATGTTTTGAGACGTCTCAAGAAACGGCCCAAGGAGAGGGAACATGTTTTGAGACGTTATGCGCTTCGAGGCACCTCGAGAAAGAGAAACACTTGGGCGCTGGCACAACGATACTCGTCTCAAAGAATCCCCAGCAGCACAGCCTCCCTGCCTGCCAACACACTCTCTTTTCTCTCATCTCACATGGCTGTTATCCAGTCCAGCACATTGGTTGGACAAGCCCTAGCCTCCCGGCGCAGCCCCCCGGCGCAGCAGCTTCGCCCACCATAGGTCCCCAGCAGGTTGTTTGTTTCCCCACAGAATCCCCAGCGCACCCTCCCTTCCCGTGCCCTTCCCCCTTTCCCCCTGCTCCCTCACGTGGCTGATGTCCAGCACGTTGTTCACCAGTGCCAGCAGCCCCTCAGCACAGCGAATCCCCAGCATAGCCTCCCTCCCTCCAACTCTCCCCCTTTCCCCCTTGCCCCTTTCTCTTATCTCACAAGGCTGCTATCCAACACATTGTTTGACAAGCGCCAGCAGCCCCCTAGCGGAGCAGTTTCGCCCACCATAGGTCCTCAGCAGGTTGTTGCCTCACAGAATCCCCAGCACACCCTCTCTTCCCGTGCCCTTCCCTATCCCCTTCCCCCCTGCTCCCTCTGTCCAGCACGTCTTTCACGAGCGTCAGCAGCCCCCCGGCGCAGCGAATTCTCCCAAAAGAGATTCCCGCGTCACAGACTACCCAGCACAACCTCTCTTCCCCTCCTTTCCCCTCCCTCACATGGCTGATATCTAGGGTTGAGCAAAAAAACGGGCTGGGCCCGGCCCGGGTCGGGCCATACACAGCCCGGGTCGGGCCGGTTGCGGCCCGACCACCTTCTGGGCGGGCTCGGGCTGAGGTTTTGCCATCATGGCCCAGGTCGGGCCGGCCCGGCCCGGCCCGCTTTTTGGGGCAGCTCGGCACGGCCCGACCCGGGCCGGGCCCGGGCCGTGCTCTACCCAGCACGTTGTTGACGAGCGCCAGGCCAGCAGCACCCTGGCATAGCAACTCCCCCCAGCACACATCCCCGCCACCACCCTTCCCCCTGCTTTCCCCCCATCCCCCCTCCCCTTCCCCCACTCTCACATGGCTGATATCGAGCACGTTGTTGACGAGGGCGAGCAGCCCCCCGGCGCAGCGGCGGATCTGAGCCACCATGACCTCCTGCTCCTCCGAGAGCGCCTCGCATGATAGCAGGTCCAAGAGGCCTATGATGCCCGCTATGGGCGTGCGCAGCTCGTGACTGGAAAGGGGGAGGGAGGGAGGGGGAGGAAGCAGGAGAAGGGGGAGAGTGGAAAGGAAGGGAGGGCAACGTGACGTGGCAACGTGTGCATTGTTTACTCAAAGGGGGCACTTTCTCCCGGAGCTCTGGCGTAGCGTTGTATCAACAACTACCTCCACACCCCTCTCCACCCCTCTCCCCTCCTCCTCCCTCCCCATGTCTCGCCCCTGCTTTTGTATCCCCCTTGCCCTTGCACCCCTGCCCTCGCAACCCTCCCCCCTCTCGGCCCTGCTCGGCTCTTCCCTGCCCTCGTCTCTCCCCTCTTCCCCCCCCCTACTCCACGGCGACTGCTCTCTCGCGCGCACCTCATGTTGGCGAGGAACTGGCTCTTGAAGTTGCTCGACTTCTCCGCCTGATCCTTGGCTGTTAGTTGCCGAATGAGCTCCTGTGAGAGCGGGTAGAGGGAGAAGCGGGGAAGGGGGGGGGGGGGGGGGGGAGCGTGGCAGGATGGCGGGAAGGACGGGTTAGGACAGTTGCTCGACTTCTCCGCCCTGTCCTTGGCTGTCAGCTGCCGAATGAGCTCCTGTGGGAGAGGGTAGAGGGGACGGTGGCAGGGGACATTGGCGAGGGGAGATAGCGGAAAGGGGGGAGGAGGGTCTTGAGACGTCTTAAGACCCTGCACGGTCCTTGGCTGTTTGTTGCTGAATGAGCTCCTGCGAGGGGGGAGGTGGGGGAAAAGGGTGGGGGATGGGGGAGGAGGAAAGGGGGAGGAGCGGCGGGGAGGAGGGCTTTTGAGACGTTTCCAAACTCTGCACGGTCCTTGAGTTCTAGCTAGTGAATGGGCTCGTGAAATGAGAGTGCACGTGATCTTTGAGACGTCTCAAAATCACTCTCATTTGACCCGCACGGTCCTTGGCTTCTAGCTAGTGAATGAGCTCCTGCTAGAGGGGAGGGGAGGAAAAGGGGGGAAGGGGATGAGGGAGGGGAACAAGGGGAAGGGAGGGCGAGGGAATGAGAGAGGCGGCATGGGAGAGATGAAGGTGAAGATAGGAAATGTATCCAGCGCTTTTGAGTCGATTCAAGGGCGAGGGAATGAGAGAGGCGGCATGGGAGAGATGAAGGTGAAGATAGGAAATGTATCCAGCGCTTTTGAGTCGATTCAAGGGCGAGGGAATGAGAGAGGCGGCATGGGAGAGATGAAGGTGAAGATAGGAAATGTATCCAGCGCTTTTGAGTCGATTCAAGGGCGAGGGAATGAGAGAGGCGGCATGGGAGAGATGAAGGTGAAGATAGGAAATGTATCCAGCGCTTTTGAGTCGATTCAAGGGCGAGGGAATGAGAGAGGCGGCATGGGAGAGATGAAGGTGAAGATAGGAAATGTATCCAGCGCTTTTGAGTCGATTCAAGGGCGAGGGAATGAGAGAGGCGGCATGGGAGAGATGGAAGTGGAGAAATGGAATGTAAGCGATTTTTGAGAATTCTCAACTATCCAGCGCATGAAAAAAATCCAGAGCAAGAGACTTGCGGTTTACAGCTCGCCACGCTAGCCACAACACACTTTCCCTCTCTTCATCCCCACACATGACTTGACTTACCCTCCTGGGCCTAGTAAAGAGCAAGAATTGCATGCCCTTACTGATGCTGCACCGCGATACATGGCACAGCACCACACTGCACAGCACCACCACACTGCACACAGCCCGCACACACCACCGACAGGACCACACTGCATAGCATCACGCTGCACCGCACAGGACCGCATAGACTCCCACCTCACCTGCTTGAGTTCCCACTCGACGTTGATGCGCGAGGTCATCTTGAGGATGAGCAGGCAGCCGGCGAGCAGCAGGCCCAGAGACATGGCAAAGCACGACCACACCGTCACCGTGCTGCCCGTCTCTATGGCCCCCATGATGCTGCTGCGCGGGATCACCGCCACCACCACCTGGCAAGTCAAGGGCAAAGAGATGTGCAGAGCGGGGGTTGACAGTGGGGAGGGCAGTGGGGAGGGCAGTGGGGAGGGCAGTGGGGAGGGCAGCGGGGAGGGCAGCGGGGAGGGCAGTGGGTTGAAGGGCACGATGTTGAGGAGCCAACTTGGCCTCTATCGACCCCATGATCATGATGCTGCTGCGCGGGATCACCGGCACCACCACCTGATCCTAAACCCCAAGTGAGGTGCAGGGGTGGGGGTGGGCAGGGGGGAGGAGGCAGTGGGGCGGAGGACAGAATGTTCAGGAGCCAGCCAGCTTGATCTGTCTTGCTGCCATGGTGCCGCTGTGCTGGGAGGTGTACGTCAATGTAATTCACTCGCATCCACCCACATACCTCTGACTGCTGCCCATGCTTTCCCCTTTTATCCCCCATCCCCAGATTCCTCCATTCCCAGCTTCCCCCCTTTCCCCCTTGCTTACCCCCCATCCACCCTCCTCTCCCTCCACCCCCCTCTCACCAGCTGAAGGTCATCAAAGAGGGGCGAGGAGAGCGGACAGCTGTCAACATAGTACTGGCTGTCCGGGGCCTCGGGATTGCCGCTGACGCGGTCCGAAAACGTGCACGCGCGCAGCAGGTCCTGCATGGAGAAGGACGCTTCCAGGAAGCGCGCGGCCATGGCGAGGAGAGCGTTGTTGGAGAGCGTGGGGCTGGTGTAGAGGGTGCTGTTGGTGGCCGATGAGGCAATCACCCGTGCATCGCTGCCGTTCAGCCTGAAAGGGAGAAGAGGGCGTGGAGGGAATGGGGGATGCATGTCGGGCTGGTGTAGAGGGTGCTGTTGGTGGCCGATGAGGCAATCACCCGTGCATCACTGCCGTTCAGCCTGAAAGGGAGAAGAGGGCGTGGAGGGAATGGGGGATGCATGTCGGGCTGGTGTAGAGGGTGCTGTTGGTGGTCGATGAGGCAATCACCCGTGCGTCGCCGTTCAGCCTGAAAGGGAGACGGGGGGTGGGTGGGGAGAGGGTGGGGAGGCGTTGGGGGGATGCACATGGGGCTGGTGTAGATAGAGAGTGCTGTTGGTGGCCGATGAGGCAATCACCCATGCATCGCTGCCGTTCAACCAGGGAAGGAGTTGGGGGAACAGGGGAGAGGCGAGAGAGGGGGAGACAGAGGGTGGTAAAGAGTGCGTGGGGCTGGTGTAGAAGGGGCTGCAGTTGGTGGTGGGAGAGGAGGCGATATTGCGGTGCGGCAACATAGTGCAGCACTCTCCTCCTTCTCCTGCCCCCTCCCCAAATCCCGTTTCCTCGCCCGTAGCACTCTCTCTCAATACGACACAGAAGAGCATTCACAGTCACTCACTCACCACACAACATAGAGCAGCCCATTGAGCAAGTCCAGCTGCTCTATGAACCGATGAACGCCCTCCAGAGGCTGAGCCACGCCCGCTATCCCCGCATACCCCAGCGAACCCACCCCAGGTGCCGCCTCCTCCCCATTCCCCCCTTCCCCCGCCTGCCCTGTCTCCCCCCCCTGCCGCAGCACTCCCCCTATGGGGGCGGTGGCCCCCGGGGGAGGCGTGGAGGGGGAGATGGGGGCGAGCAGCAGGGTGCTGGGAGCGACGGTGGCGAAAGCAAAGATCATGGGCGGGGTGTCGTTGGTTACTTGCGCCACCGCCCACTCCACCTGGGAGAAGGGGGGAAGGGGGGGAAGGGGGTCGGGTAGGGGGAGACTTTTGAGAAGGGGTTGGGAGGAGAAGACAGGTGCTTTTACCTCACCTTTTGGAGTGTGGTGCAGGGGTTTGAATCTGGGGTGGGCGAGGAGGCGGAGGGGTCATGTGCATGTCCGTGTGTGCATGCGTGTGTTTGCATGTGCATGTGCGTGTGCGTATGCGCATGTGTGTGTGAACGAGTGCATGCATGCATGCATGTACCAGTGCGTGCGTGTGAATGCAAGATGAAGAACGTGTGAGAGGGTGTGCAAGCAAGCAGGGAGAGTCTCGGTCTCACCTGGTGAGAGGGAGGGGGTGAGAGCGGCCACACGTCCGTGACCGCAGTGCCGTTCAGACTGTGCGTGGTGTTGCTCAGAGACAGCGCTGTTGGGCCAATCACAGGCTGACAAGTGGCACCGGGGGCGGGGTGAAACAAGCAGAGCAGAGGAGCAGAGGCAGAGGCAGGGGCACGGAGAGGGCAGTTTTGAGACGTCTCAAAACAGGGGCAGGGAAGAGGAAGAGGCAGCATCCGGGAATTTCAACAGAAGCAAGAATCATAGCTTGCTCAATGGGCTTAGCTTGGTGTGGCGTGCAAACAGAGATGTTCTGAGACATCTCAAATCATCATAGGGCTTAGCTTGGTGTGGCTGCACAAGTAGACGTTGCAATGCAAAGATAGAGCAACAGCTGTGTGCCTGGGAGATAAACCGCACACAGAAAAGGAGAGGGGAGAGGGAGGAGCAAGAGCGAGAGCGAGAGCGAGAGCTAGAGCGAGGGCGAGAGCGAGAGCTAGAGCGAGAGCGAGAGCGAGAGCGAGAGCGAGAGCAAGAGCAAGAGCAAGAGCAGCATGCGCACCGCCTTGGTCTTGATTCACACCCGTGACGTGAATTATCCACCACCTTTGCATCCCCCATCTCTCAGCACCTCCCAGCACCTCCCTGTAACCCCCACCTGCCTGCACCTGCACCCCAACCTTCCCCCACCCCCTACCTAGGAGGCGGAGTTCTGTGCCTTGGTGAGTGAGACGTGTTCATGGGGGTGGCTGCTGTAGATGCAACCCCCACATCCCTGCAACACCCCTTCCCCAGGTCCCCCCAGCACCCACCTTTCCCAGGTCCCCCCAGCGCCCACCTTTCCCAGGCCCCTGCACCCCGCACATCCCTGCATCCCTCCACACCGCACCCCCCCTCTTCCCACCCCCTACCTGCGAGGTGAAGTTCTGAGCCTTGGTGAGCGAGACGTGCTCATGGGGGTGGGAGCTGTAGATGCAGAAGCGCTGCTGGGCGGTGGAGGCGTAGCTCATGAAGAGCCCGTTCACCGACCCAAAGAACACCGACGACACCCGCGCCTCGTTTGATGCGTACACCGCCCACGTCATCTCCCGCACCTGGCATGGAGAGCGGTGGAGAGGGGTGGGGAGGGGTGGAGAGGAGTGGAGAGGAGCGGAGGGGGGTTTGGAGGGCTTTTTAACACTGGGGGTGGAGGGGGGAGTGGGGGAGAAGCGTATGGGGAGAAAGCGACCATGATATGGGTGGCATGGCATGCGCTGCAGGAAATGCGTCTCCCACCCACCACAATGCCTCACCAAGCCTTTTCGAGCCACCTCACATCCCCACAGAGCCCTCAACCCCCGCCCATGATGCCCATCCCCCCCCCCAACCCCCCCCCTGCTCCTCACCGTAGTGTTGACTAGGCTCCAGTCAATGTCCACATGCCCCTCATGCGCCGTGCCATGCGCCTTCTCCTGCGCCTCCAGGCCAGCCTGCAGCACGGCAGCGTACGTGAGCGACACGTTGCGAGTGCCCTCCACGATGCTCCCCACGCGCTCCTGCGTGCGCATCAGCAGCTGCTTGCGGTAGTTCATCGTCAGCGTCTGGGGGGGGGGGGGAAGGAAGGGAGGGGGGGGGGGGGGGAGGGGAGGAGGGGAGGAAGGAAAAGGGGGGTTGGGGGGCTCCCTCTCTGCTTTTCTCTCTCACACACACACGCACTTGCCTCTCCCTCTCTGCTTTTCTCTCTCACACACACACGCACTTGCCTCTCCCTCTCTGCTTTTCTCTCTCACACACACACGCACAAAACCGCACCTGTACTGAGTTGTTGTAGTAGGAGCTGGTGAGGAGCCATGTGAAGAAGGTGAGGAGGAAGATGATCACTGCCACTAGCAACTGCATGCATGCACACATGCAGGCATGCACACATGCAGGCATGCACACATGCAGACATGCACACATGCACGCATGCACACATGCACACATGCACGCATGCACACATGCACACATGCACACATGCACGCATGCACACATGCAGGCATGCACACATGCAGACATGCACACATGCAGACATGCACACATGCAGCACCCATGCACGGGTGCAACCATGCACCCAGGCACACCCATGTCCAGAGGGAAGCAGACAGAGGGAAGCAGAAGGAGCAAGGGGGAGGGAGAAACGGAGGAATGGAAGGGAGAAGGAAGGCCGGGGAGGGAACACATGTTGGAGTGTTAATGGTGTCACATCCACCACTGTCACATGCAGCTTGTGCCTTCCAATAATGCAAGTCGGGGAGAAAAGGCAACCTCCCGGTATCATGATACCTCTCCCAGGCATTCAATCCGCTTTTTTTCCCTTTTCATTTTCCCCTCCAACCCCCACCCCGTCCTACCCAGAAAAACAGCCAACGCCGCTCCCCCGTCCCCCTTCCGCCCAACCCTTTCCTTCCCCCCTCCCCCGCACCATGGCTGCTAGGCGGTACACGAGGATGGGGTTGCGCACGCGCGGGCAGGGGCACCACGACGGCCAGAACCACGGCCCAGGCATCTCCCCCGCGCCCTCCTCCCATTCCCCCTCCCCCTCCGCCACACTCCCCTCCGCGCCCACCCCCTGCGACCCCTGCAGCTGGCTCGATAGGTCCACTAACACGTCATCTAGCGCGGATCGTTTCCCGCCCTTGCCCGCGCTGCTTCCGCGCCCGTACCCCTGCGCGCGCCCTCCGGCTTCCCCCTGCTGCGGGTAGTGCTGCGGGTGGGCGGAGCGGCGGCGGTAGGGGTTGCTGTAGTTGTCCGTCTGCGCCCACCATGCGCTGGGGGAAGCGGCGGAAACAACGGTCGGAACGGGAAAAGGGTGCGGCAGTGGGGGAGTGTGGGGGGAGTTTTGAGTCGACTGGGCGGAAAAGCCAGGCGGAACACAGCAGGCGGAACGGTAAAAAGGTGGAGCCGGAGGGGAGCATAGGGGGAAGGCAAGATGGCGGAAAAGAGTGAAGGCGAGACTTGCGGGGAGCAGACATAGGGCAGCCGAATCGGCTTCTCATGCATGGGACGCATGAGATTCATGAGAATCATAAGGTTCATTCATGGGATGCATGGGATGCATGGGTCAGAAACGGGAAACGCTGCCGAAAAACGCAATCCTAAACGGGGGGAACGCAAGAAAAAGGTGTGTGATTGAGTCGACTCGAGTTACGCAATTGGGAGCGGACGGGACGCGAGGTAAAGCATCGACCCTAACGCTAGGGCGGGCTACTCGGTAACCCCCATGTCAAAAAGTCTCCTTTTCAGCGTTAACGTATTCGTGTGATCTTGTGTGTTTACGTCACGGGTTGCACCTGGTGGAGGCTCGACTGTAAGAGACAGCGGACTGCGCCACGCTGCCTTCCGCTATCGACAACTCCTCATCCGAATACGTCCGGTCTGAGTAGTACTCGCTATTGTCGCCCTCGCTACCGGCATCGTCGCGCCTCCGCCTTCTGCCCGTCACCAACCGCCGCGCTCCCGAAACTAGTGTCTTCCACGCGGCTGCACTGCGCCAGCCGGTTCCGGGTTTCCAGCCGCGACGGTCGCCGTAATCGCCGCCGTGATCGTCGCCGTGATCGCTGGCGTAAGAGTCGCTATAGGGCCCCCGGCTCGCGTCATCGCTCATGTCATCTACGCTGACGTCACCGTCCATGGCGGTCACGCCTCCTTTAGGACCGTCCTAATGGGCTTACATATTAAGTTATGGAGCAATGCACTAACGCGGCTTGAACGCCCATCCGTCGCAAATCGTGAAGGCCCACTGACCTAAACCGGACTGAATAAGTAATCACTGGACCTTATAACGAACTAAAAAGTGTGGTTTGACAGGTGACCACCACCAACCAAAACAGCACGAAGCTAACTTCTATTGGCTTGAAAATCCCAACTTCGGTGCGGTCCTACCCGTGTGAGCAAATAAGAAATCAGGCAGGAATCACTGTAGGCTGCCAGTCAGAACTGTGGTTGGGCAGAGGGAAGGGTTTTTGTCCTGTCTGTTCTGCCAAATAGTTGTTACAGCACGTATCATCACTGTTGTTCATGAGGGAAGGTCAGTTCTGTGAAAAGACGGTTGCAAGTGAAAATCTGTTGTTCCCAGCACAATATGTTCCAACGTCACGGAAAACAACGGACGTAATCTGTGGAGGAACAACGGATGTTTGAATTCGGGCAGCTGAGATTGAAATCCATCAACAGACAGGTACTGTAATCAAGCGGGATCGCACTGTGCTGCTCCTCCCCGTGTAACTGCTGGTGGAGCGATTCGAGTTGGAGGGGGACATGTGTGGCCGACGGAAGGCGTCTTCGCAATAGCGTAACCAAGGCAGGGCCGAAGCAGATACCAAGACGTACTGGGAGTTTAGGCCATGTTACATTTTTCGAAGTCGCTGAAAGTCCGGACGGCTGTCCGGACGCGTGCGAAGATTGCGACGTTGCACGGTCGCGTCGCGACCGATGCGATGTCGTTAGGATGCAATACGAAGAAGGCGACATCGTTTTGACCCTGACGAACTCAGGGCTGAGAATTAACGAGTTTCGTAACCACCAATCGTCCGGACGAAAAAAAAAATGAAAAATGTAACATTCCTTATGCGTGTGTGTCAACGCAAGATGTCATTCCTAGTGTCGGATCCTTTTTCTCTGTACACGCGCTACTCCCATCGTCATGCGTACTGTGGTGCTTCACCAAGGGGACACTACTACATTCGGTCGGAGCTGGGGCGGGAAACGCCACTAGCATCCTCGATATGAGAGGTCATCCGCTTCAGTGCTAAGATTCCCTCCTTTGTATATATTATACCCTAAAAAACCCGTGCTTTCAATCTAATGGTGTGTTAGACGTCTCTATGGGCTAATTAACCTATTATGAATATACAAAGGGATATTTTTCTTGAAAATGTTGTTTTTTTCAAAGGGGGGTGAAGTTAATAGCGACTGAACACGTTAAACCACTTTGTTGGCGTTTTTTTTTAACTGTACGTGTTGTCGAAGCCCTTGTAAGTGACCATCCGCATTCACTTCCAACTAGATATCCTAGACCCAATTTTCCTAAGGGGGTGTCCAGTTCGTTCATTTCGGGGTTTTTAGTGCCAACTCACGTCTCGAGGTTCAAAAATATTCACTGTACCTAAAAACGAATGCATTGTGAGTTGAGTCCCACCTACCTGTAATTTCAGGAGCGCGGACACGTTCTCCGCCACACGAATCAACAGTGCTCTGATCGCGTTCAAAACGAGGTAACTGTTTCCGTCGTCAATCATAGCTAACGAATTTTTGGGCAGGCGGGGGGTGTGTTGACGAGTGTAGCGAGCTACTGGCGAAATTGTGCAAGCGATACAGTAGTGGCCAGGACGCGGTGCTGTACCCTTGTTCGTGTCCCCGCTGATTCCAGTAACGTGAGTCAGACGACATGAGGTACGTGCAGGGGGCGTGCCGTTTTGTGAACGAAAGCTGATTGTGTCCGCAGGACACGTTCAATACAGTGTTACAACAAAAAATGTGGTAACTGAGCGGGCTTACGAACAGTAAATGTACGAGCTGGACACCCCCTAACTCATTTTATGTGCCGCCTTGCTCTTCTGGGCACATCGCACTGAACCTTTCCGCCGTCTTTCAGCATGGCGACTTCTTTTCTCGCTCCTCCGCTCTCCTCGTTCTCCATACCGAATCCGTGGGCGTCGGCGGAGCACAGGCCTCGTTCCCCTCCTACCGCCATTATCCACCGTCCATTGAAACCCACAATCAATCCCTTCTTTCACTCAAATCCCTATCGAGTCAAACACCATCATTCCTCCTTCCGACCTCTCCTCCCCTTCCGTGCATCTTCCGTTCCTCCGCAATCCGACCCTCCTAAACCGCAACCACCAGCGCAACCCGCATCCAACATCCCCCAGAAACCGCCTTCCCCGACCCCCTCCCAACCACCCCTGCCGGTGTCGCCAACGTCGGTGGTTACATGGGGCGGCCGGTTACCATCCACGCGACGGCTCGTGCTGGGATCGTTAGGGTTTGCTGGTTTAGCGCTGGGGTCGAATTTCCTTGGCTCCACGAGTGCTCTCTTGGGAACAGTAGAGGACCCTGCGCGGTCAGCGCGCCTGGATGTTCTGTTCCCTATCAAGGGTTACAAGCGGTGCTATGACACGGTGAATGGTTTTGGTGAGTTCTGTGCGGTGGGGGGCGGTGCGGTCGAGCGTAGGCGGAGAAAACGACTATTGGGGGGGAATCTATATAGTTGAGTGTTTGGGAACGTCCAGTTCACAGATGCAGAGTGTGTGGACATTCAGAGTGTGTGGACATTCAGAGTGTGTGGACATTCAGAGTGTGTGGACATTCAGAGTGTGTGGACATTCAGAGTGTGTGGACATTCAGAGTGTGTGGACATTCAGAGTGTGTGGACATTCAGAGTGTGTGGACATTCAGAGTGTGTGGACATTTAGAGTGTGTGGACATTCAGAGTGTGTGGACATTCAGAGTGTGTGGACATTCAGAGTGTGTGGACATTCAGAGTGTGTGGACATTCAGAGTGTATTGACATTCAGAATTTGTGGACATTCAGAGTGTGTGGACATTCGGAGTGTGTGGACATTCAGAGTGTGTGGACATTCAGAGTGTGTGGACATTACTCAAAGCACGCACTCCTCTTGAGTAAGTCCCCCAAAGGAGTCGGACGTGTGGCAGCATGGTAGTGAGCGTTTGCTGCAGCAGGTAACAATGTAACGTGCTGCATAGTAAGCCGTTCCTCTCAAATTAAGACCCTCAATCAGATTTCGCACCCTTGCATTGCATACAAATCCACTCCCATGTCTACGTGCACTGTCTGTCCAACCCCGACTCGCCTCCTCACTCCCACTCTCCTACACCGTACCTCCCCCCCACTCCCCTCTCTGCCTTCATCCCACCCTGCCTCCACCCAGAATTCCTCTTTCCAGCCGAATGGGTGGGAGACCAGACATTGCTATACCGAGCAGCGGAGCGCAGAGAAAGAGAACTCTCGCTGGACCCACCTCCCCTCGCCTCCCCTTCCTCCTCCTCCTCCTCCTCCTCCGCCTCCTCGCAACAAGCACGCAGAGCAGGTGCAGTTGATCCTGTGGCGGCCTTTGGCCCGCCGGGGGGAAACGGGGAGCTCAATGTGAGCGTCGTTGTTGCTCCTGTGCCACGAGGCTTCAGGTGAGTCTGCCGGTGGGGTTTGCATGTATGACTGCAGGCTCAGTTGGTACTTATTTGTATTTGCATAGCATGGTTTCGTGAGGAATACCGGTATGAGGAAGCGTTGGCTCTCATTTCTGCTGCTCCTCATGCCGTGTGTCTCCTTGCGTCTCCTTGTTTCGCCTCTGCAGCCTTAGGAGCTTCGGAGACGCAGAGAGCATCGGTGGCAGGCTGTTGGCTAACGTCATTGCACCTGCTGGGTCTGGAAGGGAGGCCATGCTGCTAAATGCAAGCGAGAAGGAGCTGGATGGCGTGCTGTACATAAGACTGGAGTACACTGTACAAGGCGCTTCATTCTCCCGTCACAATGTGTCCGTTTGTGCGGTGAAACGCGGAAAGCTTTTCTCCATGAATGCACAGTCACCTGCGGATCTGTGGCCTGAGAACTTGGAATCTTTTTCTGTCGTTGCTCATTCATTCAGGGTTCTGGGTGACAATGTGTAAGCAGGGGCACTGAGACTGAGTGTTGACCTGGAGCAGGTCTGAATCTTGAGGTCGCAGTACCACATCTTCGTTCTAATCGAAAGCTGCTCAATATTTATAACAAGTACCGTAGTGTGCACCATGATGCTGATTTAGAGGTGTGTTCGTACCATAACAACCTTCCGAAGCAAGGAATCCCCGAGTCACTCGAATACCATGTTACAATCCCACTGGAGAATTCAAATCTGCCTCAGGGTTGATCGTGTTTGCAGCGGAACTGAGATAAATGGCTCGCACCTGTCGGAGTGAATGTAAAACGACGAGTGACTATATAAAACGGCTTATTTACGATTATGTATGAATAGGAAACGACCTTGCTTGCTAGCCATTATTACATCGAAACTTTAGCCGTGCGACATGAGAACCTGTTTTGAACATGTTCCTTCCTTTTTCTTCGCATCTGCTAGCGACGGTCTCGATGCTTCAACTCTTTTCGTCCCTTCGGATAATGTCGACCTTTCGTCTTCATCCTCAGTAACACTTTTGCCTCTGTTATGTACAGGAATGCTACATAAGTGGATTACAAAGCAACCCCCCGGAACACCGTGACAGCATTATCCGTTGCAGCGGCTCGAACCGGCGGGCTCACTGGGCTCGCGAGTACGATGGGAACAGCGAACAGATATGTTGGAGATTTTTCATAAAAATGGGCAAGGTGAACATTCGCATGCATCTCCACCTTTAATTACTGGCCAGACATGTTAAATCAGTTTTGAAAACACTTGTAAGGCAATGTAAATTGACTGCTTATGAGTATACTAAACGAGTCAACGGTGCCATTGTTGTTAGCGAATGTTGTCGCCTTTGCAAATGAGCGCTAACGGACAGAGCTTTGCTTGTGCTCTGATGCCGTACAGAATGAACTGTATGCTTGACTTCAGCTAGAGTGTACAGTTATGGTTGACTTGAGCTGTACACTCGGATCCTGATTGGATTAATATAGTTTGTAGGTACATTACTGGTAAATTGTGCGAGAGCTGGATGGAAATTTTGGTTAGGGACCATCACAACTACAGCTCCCAGATTCCGCTGGATTCTCGTGACTTGCAAGAAAACTTGGGTAACTTCTTCGCTGTTAAGAAGAGGGTTTTCCGTCGGCTTGTAGGGTGTGGGTCGTGGGCCATGTCTTTCGACCAATGCAGTGTGGACTATGATTGTTAAAAAGGGAAACAAACGTGAGAAATAAGTGTACATCCGGGGACGGCAAAGCACGCCCACACCCGTCAGTCTCTGCTCTGCACACGACAGTCCAGCTCGACGAACGATGGCAACCTGGTTCACCTGAGCGGGAGCTGGAGGTCGTTTATGAACGTAGTTCTTTTATATGCACTACTGTAGTGCCTTGTTCTTTTGCCACACACGCGGGCCGTACGGTATTGTACCTGGTGTAGTCAGTTGTCGTTTGCGCTATCAGGTTTAGGAACCGTGACAGCTCTCGGACCACTTCACTTCTTTGCCTCTCCACGGCGCAACAAAGTTGCTGACGCAGCTTTATCAGATTTCTTGGGCTTCTCAAGGACTTCTCAAAGACTTCTCAAGAAGGGATGGACTTCGTTAGTCCCTGGGAACAATGGTGCGCCCCGCGATTCAGGCTCACTACGAAAGAGACACAACGGATGCCCGTAATTTCGGATATCTGACCGAACACTCGACTTAAAATACTATTTCATGGCCGAGCGCAGAATACACTCGTCCGGCCACAGCAGCCAAACATGGCCGAGGAGCCCTTCAATGGGCTCAATCAACTCATAGCAGATGTCAAAACTAACGCTGGAAAAAGAATACATACCTTCCAAGATATTAACACTGTACAGTGCCCTTGACTTCAAGCGCTGACGATGCCAAGGCAGACCCAAAGGGCAATGCTGCATTCGTACTGTACTGTGCGCGACCTGACCACGCTGGCAACAACACGCACTGCGTGGCGAATGAGGTGACTGCTTGAGCTACCATTCGTCAAGTCACTGCTCACGAGATCCCAGCTGGACGTTTTAGCTCCAAAGGTGACAACCCGGCCGAACGCGAACCGCAGGTCGTTCATAAACCTGACGGCAGAGACACAGAGTCTCCCAGCATCCACAGAATCTATAAGAGACTCAGTTCCAAAGAACCACCTTGCATAACCACAGTCTGTCTACCAACCCTCAGAATTCGACAGACAAAGCAACCACCATGGCTCGTTTCGACAGAATTCCACCAGTTTTCATCTGTCTCGCTCTCTGCGCTTCCGCAGCCCTCGCCGAGGTATGCCCGAAGTTCGTGTGCGGGCCGGGTAATTTCCTGTATGGCAAGTTCACAGACCCCATCGAACCGTTGAAGGAGCCTGCGGATCCTCTGCTTGAAGCGTACTTCACTGCGGGCCAAATGGAGGTGTACGAGAAAATCGACGTTCACGACCCGTTGATCGCCACCCCCCAGTTGGACTGTTACAAGGTGTGCGCAGATTACAACAAGAAGCCGGGCTGCGAAAGTCCGACGAAGAAGGCCAAGTACTGGATGTTTGAAGAGACCTGTATGGACGCAACTGGAGGCATCTGCACGTGCTACAACAAGTTTCAGTGCAAAGACGACAAGGGCTACAGCAGCAACTGGATGCAGGGCCCTTATCGTCAGGGCTATAGTGACTACGAGGTGCCGGCGAACTTCACGGTGGGCATGCTCTGCGACGGCAGGGACAAGGGCGACCCGCACTTCACGGGAGCCGACGGGTCGCACTTCGACTTTAGCGGGAAGCCGAACCGCAACTGACCCGCACTTCCAGATGAACGGCTTCTTCGGCGGGCGCTACAGCCGGTGGAACGGCGACGTGAAGGCGCTGACGTGGATCCGGTCGGTGGGGCTGATGGCGGGCCACCACACGGTGGTTCTGGAGGCGCGGCGCGGCGCGGAAGCGGAGTACGGCAACGGATACCTGGCGCGCGTGGTGGCTGACGGCGTGGCGGTGGAGCTGACTGTGCCCGGCACGACGGTGCAGCTGTGGGACGGCGCGACGCTCAAGTGGGAGGCTGCGCGCAAGCTGAGCGGTACGGACCTTGTCGACGTGTACGACGTGACGATCGACGGCGTCGCCACCATCCGCCTCACGCTCAGGCCCGAGGTCAAGAACCTCCGCACCGCCACGGACGCCGCCGTGCACTTCGGCCTCGACGTGCTCTCCTCGTCCTTCTCCCAGGCCGTTCACGGCGTGCTCGGCCAGACGTTCCGCCCCGACTTCCAGGGCCGCCTGTAAGTCGAGCCGCCGCCTACGCGCCATTGTTTTTTCGTTGGCCTGTTTTTCTTGGGTGCTGAAGAAATTTCCACCTTCTCACGTTTATCTCCGGTTTTGTTTTGCAGGTCTCACCAGAAGCTGCAGTGGAGCCAGCTGCTGCAGGTGATGGTGGTGCCGGGCGACAACGCGGAGGGCTTCATCGATGGAAACATGGACGACTACGAGGTGACGGACCTGCTCAAGGCGGACTGCAAGATGTGCCGCTTCACGCGCGCCCACGCCGTGGACGAGGAGATGTCCATCGCCATGAACATGATGGGCAGCGCCGTCGGCGGAGGCCTGCCCGCCGCTCCTCGCAAATACCTCGCACAGAGCTTCTAGGCACTCGCCATCGAGTATTATTCCACTGGTGTTTGGGCTCCATATGCTGATTCTGTATGACAGGGGGTGCGTGATTTCTGTAGGGGATGGGATGGGATGGGATGGTAGTCGAATTTTGGGGACAGCCCCAATTTGGTCACCCTCAACGCGGGAAAATTGTGTGCGACCAATCAGTTTGCTGCTTTGCGTCCCGCCCAATCTACAACGGTCAAACAAACCGCCAAGGTTTGGGCGGGATCGCTAAATTTCGTACTGTATGCGAAATCTGTGCGGGAGTCGAGTCCTCCTCGGTTCTCGAAACTGTGCCTCGATACACGCTATTGTTTTTTCATGGTTGTTGTTCTCGAGCTTTGATAATATACGCTATAGTTGACATTTCTGTATGTATCAGTTCGTTGTGCACTCTCCATAATGTCATCTAAGGAGTGAAAGGGTATAAACTTGTGGTATGTATCAATCATGTAAAATCTACATAGTAACACAACTTAGCATGTAATATGCACGTCCAAAAATTGTATATTCCAAATAATCACGATATTAAAATATGTGAAGGCATTCCTGTACGCAACAGGGTGAAGGCACATTCGAGTATGAATATGAAAAAACACTAACAAAATCATCTTCCTGAATCGAAAAGCAGTGAGGCCTTTCTATAGTGTCTGAACGAATGTAGAGATGTTGACGTTATTGCGATGGTGGGGGGGATGTTGACATTATCTTACTACGTATTGTTAAAGGTACTAACAACATAGTTCCTGCACCTCTGCAATATTCTGTAAAATCTTGTGGGGCTGATACTTTTTTTATTAGCCCGGTATGAGAGGCTAGGCTACTGATGTCAGATTATAATGCATGTCTAGTCTGTAGTGGGGTACTCAAAAGTGAGTATAACCCTTTTAGGGCCTACTACTTGTATCCCCCTCCTTTCTAGTTTCACCATTCTCCTTCCACAATTCTGTCGACATTTTCCTTACACCCTACACCCTCGAACTTAACTACCAAGGCTCCTAAACTATGGCTCCTAAGCCAAACTCACGCTAGTACTTTGATATGCTATCAGAGCTAAACGCTCCTGGCCTGTGGGCCCACCTACTTCCGCTGCCCTACTGTGTGTCGCGCGCCCCGTGGCGCGCGACCTCCTATTTTTCTTCCCGCCACGCGCTCGGGGCGCGTGGCGGTTTTCTTCCCGCCGTGCGCCCCGCGGCGCGCGGCGGGTTCCTATCTCGTCGCGGCGTCTTGGGGGCCCGCGCGCCGGCCCCGACCGTCGCCTCGTCGCGGCGTTTTGGGGGCCCGCACGCAGGCCTCTCCCGTCGCCTCGTCGCGGCGCTTTCGGGGCCCGCGAGCCGGCCCCTCCCGTCGCCTCGTCGAGGCGTCTTGGGGGCCCGCGCGCGGTCCCCTCCCGTCGCCCGTCGAGGCACTTTCGGGGGCCTGCGCGGCTCCCTAGCACGTCGCCCGTCAGGGCACCCTGGGGGCCGCGCCCTTCCCCTCCCCTCCCTCCTAATTTCCGCTGCAGCAGCAGCCCCTGGAGCAGCCGCCCCAGCAGCAGCAGCACCTGGAGCAGCCGCCCCAGCAGCAGCAGCCCCTGGAGCAGCCGCCCCAGCAGCAGCAGCCCCTGGAGCAGCCGCCCCAGCAGCAGCAGCCCCTGGAGCAGCCGCCCCAGCAGCAGCAGCCCCTGGAGCAGCCGCCCCAGCAGCAGCAGCCCCTGGAGCAGCCGCCCCAGCAGCTGCAGCCCCTGGAGCAGCCGCCCCAGCAGCAGCAGCCCCTGGAGCAGCCGCCCCAGCAGCAGCAGCCCCTGGAGCAGCCGCCCCAGCAGCAGCAGCCCCTGGAGCAGCCGCCCCAGCAGCAGCCGCCCCTACAGGAGCAGCCGCCCCAGCAGCAGCAGCCCCTGGAGCAGCCGCCCCAGCAGCAGCAGCCCCTGGAGCAGCCGCCTCAACAGCAGCAGCCCCTGGAGCAGCAGCCCCAGCAGCAGCAGCCCCTGGAGCAGCCGCCCCAGCAGCAGCCCCTGGAGCAGCCGCCCCAGCAGCAGCAGCCCCTGGAGCGGCCGCCCCAGCAGCAGCCCCTGGAGCAGCCGCCCCAGCAGCAGCAGCCCCTGGAGCAGCCGCCCCAGCAGCAGCAGCCCCTGGAGCAGCCGCCCCAGCAGCAGCCGCCCCTGGCCCCTGCAGCAGCCGCTAAACTCACGCTAGTACTTTGATAACTGAATCTATTGCAAGTCTTTCCGGCCATATTGTATGCCGTGCATTTAGAGTTGCTTACTGTATAGGAAATGTTAGGACCAATATTTGCATTGTTAGTAGATAGCGCTTGTTTATCCATTAGTTGTACAGTGTTACGGGTGCAATGAATCGAAGTAGCGAGAATTGCACTAAGGTGTCAAACGAGTACAACAAGTGAGCGAAGGCATGAGCGAACATTTATACGCGAAACATGCAAACGGTAACGCGGTGCGTGCGAGCTAGCTAGTGCTACGCTGGAGCGAGGCTCGGGCTAGTCCCGAAGCGTAGGCCGACACGGCAAGGCCAGCAGTGCGAGGTTTGGTGAAACAGCGCGCGCGAAGTCGGCGAAGCCCCGTTAGCAGTAACGGGCGAACAACGGCTGTTGCTGTACGCGATGTAGTCGGGCTCCGTAAGGAATGCCGAGAAAATTCCTTACACTACCCCCCCCTCAAGAAGCCCCCTCCGCTACGCGAGTGCGTGTATATCGCGGAATCCCCGGCTCCTCAGGTACACTTGCAGGGCAGGGTGGTTTTCGATGTTGGCCAGGGGCACCCAGCTATCCTCAGTTGGCGTGCGATCCTTCCAGCAAACGAGGAATTCAATCCTCTTAATTCCCGTGGGGTGTCGAATCCGATGGCTCAGGATTTTTTCGGGCGCGATGATCGGCTCCGATGCAGGGCGAGTCATGGATGGCGGGCGGTGGCGAGACAATTGGCTTGTGGTTGGGATGTATGGGCGAAGCAAGCTGACGTGGAACGAAGGGCTGATGTACCAGTCGGTCGGTAACAGTAGGTGAGCGGTTACTGGTGTAATCATGTGGCTGATTTGGAATGGGCCACAGTAGCGCGGTCGAAGTTTTGGTACGTCGGGCAGTCGCAGATTTTGCGTGTCGAGCAGTACGTAATCCCCTGACTGGTATGTGACTGGGCGGCGGTGGCGGTCAGCGTTGCGCTTAGCGATGACATTTGCTTTTTTAATTGCTTCTGCGGCTCTGGTGCGGGCAGCTTGCAGAATTTCGGCGAATTGCTGTGCACGTGGCGTTGGGTTGTCCGGACTCGGCGTCATGGGCACTGTAGGGTTTTGCCAGTAGTTCAGGTAAAAGGGGGACTGCTGCGTCGTCGCTGACGTGGCATTGTTGTACGCAAACTCGATCAGCGGCAGCTGCTGCTCCCAAGTCGTGGGGTCGTCGCACGTGGCACGAATCAACTGCTCCATCGTCTGATTCGTCCGCTCCGTTTGGCCGTCGGTCTCGGGGTGGTACGACGAACTGAACTGTAGCCTGGTCCCGAACTGTTCCCAGAGGTTCTTCCAGAAGTTGCTGGTGAACTTCGTGTCCCTGTCGCTGATAATTGCTGCTGGTATCCCGTGCAGGCGAAAAACGGCTGCGATGAACAGACGAGCGGTCTCCTCGGCTGAGATCGACTTTTTGCACACAGCGAAGTGTGCCATCTTCGTCAGCCTGTCAACGACGACCATCACCGCGTCGTTACCCCCAGGGTTCGAAGGTAACCCTGTGACGAAGTCCATGGTAACCTGCTGCCAGGCGCGCTCGGGCGGTGATATCGGCTGCAATTGACCCGCCTTCCGCTTCCTCGAGCTCTTCATCACCTGATACGTGGGGCACGAACCCACGTGCTGCTGTACGTCGGTCAACAGCTCCGGCCAGTAATAATACCGCTGCAGTTGCTGTCGCGTTTTTTCTACCCCAAAATGTCCCGAGGTAATTCCGTCGTGTGCCTCCTGCAGTAGCAGCTCCCTCAGTAGTGAGTACGCGGGTACCCAGATGCGGTTGGTGCCTGTTTTTACGTAATAAACTCCTTTAGCTTCTGCCAGTTGCTGTGAGTTTCCAGTCGTGAAAAATGGGTCGGTGCGGTATCCGTGGGTGAATAGGCCTGTTAAAAGCGGGTTGGTCTGGGCGAATAGAATGGCGTGGAGTTGGGCGGTAGGGCGGGTAAGTGCGTCGGCGATGTTGGATGCGCCTTTCTCGTACGTAACCGTGTAGTGGAAGTTGGACTCGAGGTAGTCCAACCAGCGAATCTGTCGCGGATTGAGATTTGGTTGGGCGCGTAAGTACTGTAGTGATCGGTGGTCTGTCCGTACTGTCACGTCGGCGCCAGTCAGGTAACACCGCCAAACTTTGAACGCGTGCACGATCGCCAACATTTCGCGGTCGTGTATCAGGTAGTTGCGTTCGGGCGGGTGCAGTTTGCGGGACTCGTACGCGATTGGCTGGAGGCCGTTCCCGAAATCCTGCAACAGTACTGCTCCCACAGCGATGTCACTTGCGTCAGTGACGAGCTCGAACGGACGGTGTGGATCTGCGATGTGAAGCACGGGTGGTGAGCACAAAATGTTTTTGAGGGCCGAGAAGGCAGCTTGCTCTTTCTCCCCCCACGTGTACTCAACCCCCTTCCTCAGCAGGTCAGTCAACGGGGCAGTCAGCTTCGCCATGTCGGGGACGAACCGGCGCACGTAGTTGACGAACCCCAGAAAACTCTGCAACTCGGTCAAGTTGGTCGGCGCGTGCCACGCTTGAATCGTCGCAATTTTCTTCGGGTCTATTTCCACTGCTGCAGCTGAAATAACGTGTCCCAAAAATTTCAGGCGGTCCTGTAAAAAATCACACTTGGACGCTTTTGTCAGTAGGCGGTTGTCACTCAGTATTTTAAAAACTGCTTCGATGTCCTGTAAGTGCTGTGCTCTGTCAGGGCTGTAAATCAGTATGTCGTCCAGGTATACTATGACGCACTTATCTAAGAGCGGACGGAAAGCTTCGTTCATGGTCAT